TTTGTTGGCTTGAAACGGCAGACGAAAAGAAACAAAAACACTTATGCATCAACCTAATATATGATTACGGTAGCGAAATAAAAAGGGACACTTTTTAGTAAAGGGAAACTACTAAATTTCATTTAAATAAAAATGTACAATTATTTTGGCCTTTGATCGGTCGGTCGGTCAAAGACCAGGACCGAGCACCGAGATCGAGTATTTTCATAACAAGACTCTTGAAGGAGAGAACCAAGACCGACCGACCGGGACTGACCGACCAGTCGGTCCCGGTCGACCTTCAAACCACCAAAAAAACTTCACCAAAAGTGTTGGGAATATAATAGTTGTTTTAAATCATTTATTCGGGGCATCGGACTCTAGCCGAATCCGATCGGAAATTCGCATTTAACTGCCAAACAGTGATCAGTGAATTAAACACATAACATTAGCAAAATGAAGTCTCTTATAGGTTTTGTTAGTTTAATTATCCCGATGGTTGATCGCTGGTTTGTCCCAATGGTTGATCGCTCGGTGTCGGGCACGCCTAAACGTACTAAGTAACTTCAGAGAGACTATTATTAAAACTTAGTACGATAGCAGTAGCATGATCTGATCCTGACCTCAGACTGCGCTCAGGATCAGATCATGTGTTCAAGTCAGATTCAAGCCAATCAAATCATAAGTTCAATTCAAATTTTCAAGTTCGACAAACGAAAGAAGTTATTTGCTTGGGTATTTCCATAAAGGGCCAATATAAGCTTCATAAAGACGTCATAATGTGCCTTATAATCAAGATTTCATATTCAAAGTGATCAATCTCTTCAAAGTGATCAATCTCTTCAAAGTGATCAATCTCTTCAAACTCACATTGATTCGCCCATCACCATTGCGATACTTCTTCCAGGTCGTCGTCTGAATTTAAGTACGGAAATTTGACAAGTAAACTTTACAGACAACTTTACAGACAAGAGCTTTTAATAAGTAAAAGCATAGCTTAAACTTTTTGTGCTTAAACTTAAGAAACTTACTGTGCAACAGCCATTGCCATGAGGAAACAGGCAAGGAAAAGAATGCGAAGAAAGTGCATGGTTTTCTGAAAGTGATAAATAAAATAAGCTAAAGATAACAAGATATAAAATGACTTTTAGAATGTTTGTGAAAGGAAAGACAATTACGAGAACCAAGATTTTCTCCTTTGAAAAGAGATCAATCGAAAAAGAAAGATTTTCGCGGGATAACAAGGTCGTTTTTCAGGGTCAACCCCGATTTTTCCAATTGTTAATCAAAAAAACTGAAAAGATTCGGTAAGGGGAAAGAAATAAGATAGTTTTGTAGATATTAACATTCAAAAGAGTCAAAAGATTGATGATTTGGGTGGTTTATTTATCAAATTCAGTACAACCGGATAATGTGCAAGGTGCTGCTTTGTTTTTAGACATGAGAAAAGCGCAGAGAGTTGTTTGTTTCGATAAAATAGTGGGGTAAAAGGGTATAAAATTGTCAACACTGCTAGCATTCATGCTTCATGCCGTTTTTTCAGTTACCATTCACTTTTTCTAAAAACTTGCTAAGGTTTCTTTTCTAGAAGTTGCGCTCCACTTTTTTTGATTTAATTACTGATTTGTGTGAATTCTTTTGGCGCTTACTGCTTTAGGCGCTTACTGCTTTAGGCGCTTACTGCTTTAGGCGCTTACTGCTTTAGGCGCTTACTGCTTTAGGCGCTTACTGCTTTAGGCGCTTACTGCTTTTGGCGCTTACTGCTTTTGGCGCTTACTGCTTTTGGCGCTTACTGCTTTTGGCGCTTACTGCTTTTGGCGCTTACTGCTTTTGGCGCTTACTGCTTTTGGCGCTTACTGCTTTTGGCGCTTACTGCTTTTGGCGTTAGATAGATTTACGCGATTATAGAATAGCTTGATACTTTTCGGTTATACACCCACGCAAACAAATTTTTCCTTGCTGAAGTGGCTAATCGGAGTGGCTCGTTGACAAGATTTTGGAATTTATCACCCGGATCGATGACAGGCTGCTGACGTTAAACCCCACTGCCCAAGTGACACCAGTCTAATTCACCCAGACTATTGTGAATTTAGCCTAGCCTGATGTCACTTTGGCAGAGGTCTTTAACGTCAAAAGCCTTTGCTGAACTAACATCAGGCTAAATTCACAAGTACAAGCATTGATGCAGGGGCGGGGACGCTAACAGCTTTTCGCTAAGGTTTCTTTTCTAGAAGTTGCGCTCCACTTTTTTGGTTTACTTTCTGAGGTATTTTCTTGCTATCTTAGGCGGTATTTTCTTGTTTCTAAAATCTTTTAAACACTCGTTGATTTGCTTTGTATCTAACAAGGGAAGAATGATTGAGTCCTGTGATTTTCAGTTGATGCTTTACACGAAGAATTGTTGCCGGCTTTATTGAAGACTCAAGTTGAGTTCATTGAAATTTACTCGCCCTATGGAATTCCGGAAAATCACTTCTTTATACTGCAATAAACATTTAAAAAAAGTGTGAATCTACTTTTAAACTTGACACACGATAAACTGACCTCGATTGAGCGGAGAACATGAGAATGTAAGTCTTCGAATGTCGCCAATCACTCGAGGAAATTCGCCAATCAATTGGTTCTCGTTTAAATTCTTCAAAGCTCTGTAAAAAAGTAATATTTACTAATATTTGTACTGACAAGGGAAGGATGATTGAGTCTGGCTTTTTCCAAGAATATCTAGACCATTCGACGCAGAATTTTACGCTGATTCCAAAGATGTAAAAATTAGCTGCTGAATGACGAGCAATCACCGCCAAATTAGCCTCTCGTTTTGAGCCTCTCGTTTTAACCCGAAATCAATCCAACACCTAAACACATAGCACGCAAATCAGTAAGTAAATAAAAAAAAAGTGAAGCGCAACTTCTAGAAAAGAAACCTTAGTAAGTTTTTAGAAAAAGGTAACTGAGCATGAATAAAAAAAACGGCATACGGAATTTTGCGAATTTTGCGGAATTTTGCTAGTTGCCGTTTCTTTCAGATAACTACTATTTATCTTGATCATTTATCAATAGCACAAGCATATCTAATCGATTTTGTTTCTGTTGAAATGTGTTGAAAAGGTTTCCTTGATTTACCCCTAGGTTCTTGTGAGAAAAATGTAAATCAAGGGCACGAGAAAGATTGTTTGAGCACAAAGTGACAAAGACTATCGGTTAAATTTCGAGTTTTTCAGACACTGCACTAGAATTCTAATACTAAAAGTGAAACATTCGTTTTCCTGAAAGTCTTAAGATTTTCAGTGGATTATCAGTGGATAACAAGGTCGTTTTTCCAGGTTTCAAATTTGTTTTTTGATTAAAAAACTGAAAAGATTTGATAAACGGTTAATAATATAAATGTTTTGCAGAAAAGTAGCTCTTTTCTGTGAAATCTTATTTGATGTTTTGATTTTGAATATCTCTGATTCTCTTGTCCTTCCTCGAAAGATCGTTTGTGTGATAAAAGGGGACGGAGCCCACTTTGTATAGCTTTTCTTTGGCTTTGAAACACTGAACCAACGATTGATTATATTGGGTTGGTGAATTGTAAACTCCGGGACTTTGAACTAAAATTTATTCAATATAAAATCATGAAATCATTCGAAATAATTTCCGAGAACGATCTTTGACTTGAAGGGCCTATTCTTCTTCAGGGATTCATTCACCTTTCCCAACTGTTCACTGTATTTGATTGCATTAACGGTCGTCTTGCTATCCAGCAACTCCCAGTACACCACTGCCTCCATATCCCAGAAAACGCAGAGCATAAACTTCTTCTGGTGCAAATCGGGCTTGGGGTCACTTTCGGGTTTCTCGCCTGGCCCCACCCATAGCCACGCCTCCAATAGTTCATAAATAAAACCCATTTCTCATCTCCTGTCACAATTCGAGGAAGAAATGACTTCCTTTCGTATCGTGAGAGACGACCGTCTTGCTATCCAGCAACTCCCAGTACACCACTCCCTCCATATCCCGTTTTCCCCTTCAATTTGAATTGGCCATGGGGATCAGTTCATGGACCATGGGGACCAGTTCATTGGATCGGAAATCTTAAAAATCTTTAATTTAATAGTATTGGGTTGGTGAATTGTAAACTGCGAGACTTTGAACTAAAATTTATTCAACATAAAACGATCAATTCATTCCAAATAGTTTACATCATTATTGACGACTTCTGCCCATTTTACAGCCAATTCGCGGATTCCTCTTTCTTAGTAGGATTTTGGTTTGTGTGTGAGACAAGTGTGAGACTCAAAAATGGAGGACTGGAGATGTCAGCCGTCAGCCCAGTTTGAGCACTTTCTTCAAAAGAAACCCATTTTGGTGTCAATGGAAAAGTTGTAGAGAATCAAAAATTAGGCTTATAGCCAAATTTCCAAAAAGATACACTTAGTAGTTTCGCTTAAAATGCAAGTTTTGTGAAAATTTGGCATTTCTTTTGTGTAAATTTGGCATTTCTTGAAAACCAGTTTTTGAATCGTTCTGAAAATTTGGATATAAGCTTGATTTTTGATTCTCTACAACTTTTCCATTGACACCAGAATGGATTTCTTTTGAAGAAAGTGCTCAAATTGTCACAAATGACAACAGCCGGCAGTTTTCAATTCCCCAATCCAATAGTTCAATATCAAGACAAATTTAAAATTGCAAAAGTTTTCAAAAGCTGTCTTTTTCTCAATAAATTTGGATTTTTAACGTATTCCACTGAAAGAAAAACAGCAATGATTACGAGAGGAAATTTGTTTTTTCAAAAAAGCCATTCTTTTCTCTGTTTAATGTCTGCGTTTCTCCAGAAACTCAACTATTTTCCCGATTTTTCGATTTTGGCATCTTTTCCCTCAAATTTGTAGTTTATTCTCGGCCCAAAGCTTTCTTTTTTATAAACATTCTTATTATTATTTATGCATTGTTTTCAAAAAACTATTTAGTTTTTCTGAAAAATGGAGGATTTTCTGTGGAGCCGGCTTCGACCTTTGTTATCTCCAGAAGAAATTGCAATGAGAGTGGTGAGTTAAAACAGTTTTAAAGCTGAAAATGGGGTTGAAAATCGGCATCTATAACTCATAGAGTTTTAGCTAGATTTTGCACTAAATTTTGATAAAATAAGTTGCGCAGGATGATCGGCGAGCAACAAAAGATTCAGATCCAAATATTCAACTATTATTGAAGATTTTATTGCCATCATTTACATCATTTACATTACTAAATACATTATAGAGAATTGAGGAGAAAGAAGCACGTTTTCATGCGATTTTCCGGGAACATTATCATTTGTGGAATCATTTCATTTACTCTGTGCAAAAAGTGATCGAATCTTTTATCGAAAAATCGAAACAAGAAGTATATAGAAGGGAACCAGAAAGGGAAATGTAAAGTTTTTATTGTATTTCCTCTTAAAACACTGGTTTTTATTGAGGTTTTAACAGAAGTTGCTAAATTTAAATTACAGATTGAATCGAATCGGTGAAAAACTCGAGGAACGCTTAGATGTGCTGTTGAAATATTTGGAGGAGATTCTTCCAGAAATGTTGAATAAAATTAGGATTAATCCATCAAGTAAGCATCATTTTTTAATTACGATTATTTAGAGTTCTTCTAGAACCAAGTCTAGAAATATGATTTCAACTGAATCTAAGGCTAGCCAGGGGCTAGATCAGAAGCCAGGTTCCACGATTATTTAGAGTTCGATTATTTCTTCTAGAATCAAGTCTAGAAATAGGATTTCAACTGAATCTAAGGCTTAGCCAGGGGCTAAGTCCGAAGCCAGGTTCAATCCTGGAAATGTTGATGATTCAGCTTGACCATGTCACAGGTCCACTTCGCTTTTTTCTTTTTTTGGAATTCTTTGGAATCTATTCTATTACTATTGTTAGTCTGAAGTTTAAACTTGGAATGTTTTAAACTAATCCTAGAGTTGTTCCAATAGGTTTCTTGGACTTGTAAATCAGGACAGTCCAGGGCAAAGATCGACCAGAATCTAGGAAGCTTAAGGATTTTGTGAGCCAGTAAAGCCAAGACATGGTCAGATAAGTCAAAAGTCTGCGAAAACGTTTGCCGAGAAGCCTAAGCCCCAGCCTAACAAACCCAAATAGACTTATTGCTAGGCGCTAGCCTCTAGCCTTCGCATGATGTCCAAGCCTAAGCCTACGCCTGGCCCGGGGAAACACATCTTTGGAATCAAGCTCTGTCAGATCAATTAAAGCCAGAAGCTGACTTTGAACCGATTCTGATCATAAAAAGCGACTCCAACTTGTCTTTATAAACTTGAAATCATAAATCTAACGATTTCTTTCAGTAATCAAGACTCAAGGAGAACAATTTGAAAAGATGGGCGTTTTATCAAGAGCTTGTGATATGGTAGTGAACTCTTCAAAAACTTTTACCAAATCTAATGTTCAGGAAAAGAAAGGTGAGAGCTTCAAGATTGAGATTCTCGACCATTACATGCTGGCTTACTCGATGCCGGCAGTGATCGTTGGAAATGTCGATATCAAATCATTATGGTAAGAGTGTTCTTGTCAAATAATCTTTCTCCCATAATCTTTTCTCTATTTTTATCAAATCTTTCACTTTTTTCTCTATTTATGTGAGAAAGGATATCGAAAATATAAAAAAATAAATAAACTAGATAAAAATAGAGACAAGATTACGATAAAAAGAGAAAGAGAACACGATTTTGAAGACGAAATTAAGTTAATTCTAGTTAATTCTTTAGGTTATGCCAGGAGAATTCTCTGTTCATCGCCTACACATCCAAAGAAACAAATCCGAGTGAGGAAACGAAGAAAAAGGTCTACTAAACATTGAAAAGAATAAAAAAAAGAATATAAACACTTTAGAAAAGCATAGATTTAATGAATTCTTTTGATTTGATTTGATGAATGATGAATTCACTTATTCAAATGTTTAAATTTGACTGATTTCAGGTTATGGCCTTGTGGAAGAAAGAGAAATCACTGGCGATATCAAAACTGAAAGCTGAACCATCAAAAGATGAAAAACAAAAGGCTGAATCATCAAAAAATCTTGAAACAAGAAAAGCTGAGAACTCGCGAAAAAGTGGTACTTTTCCAGTGAACGAACTAGATAACGAACCGACTTCAGAAGAACATTGCGAATTTTTAGAGGTAATCGTTTTTGTCAAGATCGTTTTGAGTAGATTTTGATCATTTCAAGCTCATTCCGAGAAGGTTTCGATGATTTCAAGATCATTTTGAGCAGTTTTTGACGATTACAAGATCGTTTTGAGTAGATTTAGATCGTTTCAAGCTCATTTTGAGTAGATTTTAATCGTTTCAAGCTCATTCCGAGTAGATTTAGATCATTTCAAGATCGTTTTGAGTAGATTTAGATCATTTCAAGATCATTCCGAGTAGATTTTGATCGTTTCAAGCTCATTCCGAGTAGATTTAGATCATTTCAAGATCATTTTGAGTAGATTTTGATCATTTCAAGCTCATTCCGAGCAGATTTTGATCATTTCAAGATCGTTTTGAGTAGATTTAGATCAATTCAAGAAGATTTTGAGTAGATTTTAATCATTTCAAGCTCATTCCGAGTAGATTTAGATCATTTCAAGATCATTCCGAGTAGATTTAGATCATTTCAAGAACATTCCGACTAGATTTAGATCGTTTCAAGATCATTCCGAGTAGATTTAGATCATTTCAAGCTCATTCCGAGTAGATTTAGATCGTTTCAAGATCATTCCGAGTAGATTTTGATCATTTCAAGCTCATTCCGAGTAGATTTAGATCATTTCAAGATCGTTTTGAGTAGATTTTGATCATTTCAAAATCATTTCGAGTTCTAAAGCTCTAAAGCATCTCCTAGTTACCATAATTTCCCTTAAATCTCCATAGATTACATCTAAATCGATCTTCACGATTTCTTATTGTAAACGATTCTTATTTTGTGATGCACAAATCGATTATGGTAGCTAGGAGATGTAATCTTCTCGATTATGGTAGATTGGGTTACTGTAAATTGTGATTCGTTGGGTTATTTGTGGGTTTGAAAGTGCTTTAAATTGATCGCGAAAAGTTGAGAATGGTTTTAAATGGTTTTAAATGATTTTAAATGGTTTTAAATGGTTTTAAATGAAATTTTAGAGAAGTAAAGCGAAGCTCGAGGAAATCAAGTCCATTTTCTGGACTCGCTACCACTTTTGGGAGATTTACAATGACCATTTCAGTGGTAGCATTTCTTTTTTGGCTCGAAAACTTTTCAAAAGTGATATCGTTTTGTCGGAATGGTTGTCATTTTCACAAAAATTTTTTCAAATTAATGTTTAGGTTTGAATTGTTAGATGAACGAGTGAATATTCTTTCTGAATACCTTCTTAAAACGATTCCGAAAGCATTAAAAGAGATAAATGTATCAATTGAAAGTGAGTTTTCAAAAGAATTCAACGTTTAGCTTGATTTTCAAGACTTAACTGACTTAAATTGAGTTGAAAATTCATAGTTTAACAATTCTAGATGTAGTATTTAGGCTTTAAAGCAGAAAATTCATAGTTTAACAAATCTAGATTTATTTTTTAGGCATTAAAGCCGAAGCTCGTGCTTTTGAAGAGTCTAATAAGCACATTCCGAATTGCGAAATGGTAAGTAGACATACATTTTCTAGAAAAGCATTCAATTTTTGTTTGGTTATTGTTTTCTTTGTTTGGCTATTTCTCAAAACTTTAGATAGAAATCGATGAATCTCTGAGAATCGAGTGCTCGAATGTGATGAGTTTAGTGTTCAATGTTGCGCTTGAGATCTTCACTCGGCCAGAAATCAACACAATTTGGTGAGAAGTTAAGGAAAAGATCAGAAATTTGGGAAATTTAGAGGAAACTTTGAAACTTTATTCTCAAATTTACAGGATTTCGACTTTAAACGATAAACTGTACGCTTTCACTGCAAAGAAAAAAGAGCTGAGTGATGAAGAGAAAGAGAAAGTGAGATTGGTTTAAGTCTTTTAACTGGTGTTGTTCGATTTATAAATGTTCGATTTATAAATCTCTACATTTAGCTTATGGAAATGTGGAAAGAAGCACTGAAAAGAGAGGGAAAAGAAGAGAAAAAAGTCGAGACTTTGACTGGGATCTCTGAGAAGAAAGTGAGCCAAATAATCGCCGAGCTTTTTCTAGAATTTAATCTTTTAGATTATAAGCACTAGATTTGTTATTTGATAACTTTTTAGGTGACAGAAGAAACGAAAAAACCATCAGAGACATCGGTGACATCAAAAGTGGACACGAAAATCACTGGAACAGCAAAAAGTACAAAAGAAAATGAGAAGAAAGAAAAGGAAAAAGAAAAGGAAAAAGAAAAGGAAAAAGAAAAGGAAGAAAGGAAGAAAAGGAAGGAAGAAAAGAAACCGGTGGATTTGTTGTCAAAGGAGATGAATGAATTGAAAGAGGTGGGTTTTATGGGTACAATGGGAGATTTGATTTGACCAGGATTGATCCTCAACGTCTAAGCCATGGCTGGTTACGTCAAGCTTGGCCTAACCATAAGCTTTTTGGGCTAGTCTAGCCCTGGCCTTGACTTAGCCTTGACTTAGCTGGCTTTTCTAAGCCAATGAATGACCTTACCTTGACTTAGCTAGCTTGCTTATCACCAGAGCTAGTCATAGTTGATCCTGGCTGACTTACAAAACGTTCTAGGCTAGGTCAGGACAAGCCAGTCATGAACAATCATTATTATGAGTGTGATCTGGCGCTAGTCTGGAAATTCGGTTCTAGAATAGCCCTGAAAACTATTTTAGGACTAAATTTTCATAAAACACTTATAAAACTATTTAAACAAACGCGAATCCGTATTTTCTCTAATAGTAGCGCCTGAGCGTCGTCTAAATTGCTTGAAATCTCTACAAAATCTCATTGTCAGCTACATTTTCTGACATCGATAGGTTCTGATAACCGCTGATCAAAACCTATCGATTGTGGGGTTGGAAAATGTAGCTGACGAGGAGATCTAGTAAGGGATTTGAGTCTTGAGCTTCTTCAAAAGCTTCAAAACCGTCAAATAGCCATCAACTCAGCTCGCCTGGGTGCATTATTAAGAGAAAAAACGTTATTTTAAAATTAAAAAGATGATTTTCAGAAAATCAACGATAAACGGAGAAAACTTTTGGAAATTCTCGAAAAAAAGTACTATTTCTGGAAGCAATATGAAGTAGCGCTGATTAACGGAACTTTTCTAAAGCTCAAACAAAACTATCCTTTGGCATCATCTCTGGAACAGTTTAGTTTAGAGAATTTTTGATTTTGAAAACGTTTTCCTTTTAGCCATCAATTTTTATATGATCGTTTTGATGTAATCATTGATTATCTAGAAGAAATATTGCCAAAATATTTGACTTCATTGAAGATTTCACGAAAATGTAAGTGTTTCAAGTATTTCTTTTATAACATCTGTTTTCTAAACGATTTCTTCTATTTCTTTCTATCGTAATCTTGTCTTTTTTTGGTTCTATAAGAGTTCGCAAAGGATATTAAGTTCTAAAAAGTGGATAGGTTTGATAAAAAACATTAGGTAAATGCATAAGAAATGCGGATTTCAACACTTTCATAGATTTCCAACGATAGAAACCTGAAACTAGAATCGATGAATGTTATAAACTATTTGAAAGTTGTAAATCTCCTCTACAAAATAGGCTAAAACGTGTTTCAATTGATCGAAGCATAGAAGAAATTTCGAGAGCGAAATGTGAGTGACCAAAAAAGGGCACTTTTTGAAAATCTCACCTTCGCAAGAGTTCCGTTTTGACTATATAGTGGAAAATGCCCTAAAATATCAATAAAACCGCCCTAAAATATCATTCAAAATGACTAAGAGTTGGGATCATTTCATGGGAAAACTTTATTTTTACAATAATTTTTCTTTTTTTGTGAAAAAGCCGGTTTTTTGAGAATTTTGAGGGTTTTGAACTTACGCTCTATCTAAATTTCTGTAATTTCTGTAATCTCTGCATTTCCGTTAGACTTTTTTAATGAATTGATATCTGGTTATCCTTTCTTTTTGTTTAAATCTTCAATTTTGGGAAGCTAACTCGATTTGACGACACTAAACTTGTCCTTAAAGTGGCTCGATTCCTTTTTTTGGTCACTCACATTTCGCTCTCGAAATTTCTTCAATGCTTCGATCAATTGAAACCCGTTTTAGCCTATTTTGTAGAGGAGATTTACAACTTTCAGTTAGTTTATAACATTCATCAATTCTAGTTTATAAAATCACGTTTCTATCGTTGGAAATTTAGGAAAATGTTGAAATCCGCATTTCTTATGCATTTGCCTAATATTTTTCTCCCTTTTAAAGCCAATTAAATATTAAAATCTTGTTTCTTTCAATAAGATTACGATAGAAAGAGAAAGAAGACAGGGTTTAGGAAATAGATTGAAGTTTGGCATCAATTTTGGCATCAAATTTTGAGCTAAACTTTCAATTTTCTTTCACCATTTTCTATATTATTTAAACTTTAGCAATAATTGCGGAAGGTCGCCGACTTGAGCTGAATGGATTCAAAGAGGAAAATGTTGAAATTGTAACTTACAAAGAGACTTTTTATTTTATTTTCAATTTAGCAAACGTTTTTCGACTCTCAGAGAATAGAGAATGTTGATTGGAAATTTTTGATTTTCCATGCGCCTCTTTTATTCTTTCCCGATCGAATTGTCAATTCTATTTGGTTTGTTTTAAGAACAAGGTTATGATTTAAACTTGTATTGAGTCTTTTTTGAAGACAATTGTCACTTTATTTCAACTCTTCAGGATCTCCAGCATCGAGAAGTGTCTCTACACCTCACCGGACAAAAAAATCAATGATGAAACAAAGAGAAATGTTTGTGATTTGCAAAATTTCGTTTAACATTTGATTCTTAGATTATATTGATGTGGAACAGTTTGAGATGCGATGAGGTGTTGCAATTTCCACAAGAAAACCAAATAAACGCAGGGCTCAAACTGGTATTTGATGTACCGCCAGAACACAAAGCATTTCTTGATGTTAGTTTTTTTTTGCAGATCTTCATGTCAGGGATGTTCTAACTAGAAAGTTTTCGATCAGGTTTTAGTCGGATCGGATCAGCTATCAGCTCCAAAACAGTGGTCCATCTGATCGGATCAGATTCAAAACAGTGGTCCATCCGATCAGATCAGATCCAAAACAGTGGTCCATCGGGTCGGATCAGATCCAAAACAGTGGTCCATCCGATCAGATCAGATCCAAAACAGTGGTCCATCGGGTCGGATCAGATCCAAAACAGTGGTCCATCCGATCAGATCAGATCCAAAACAGTGGTCCATCGGGTCGGATCAGATCCAAAACAGTGGTCCATCCGATCGGATCAGATTCAAAACATTGGTCCATCGGATCAGATCAGCTATCAGCTCCAAAACAGTGGTCCATCTGATCGGATCAGATTCAAAACAGTGGTCCATCCGATCGGATCAGATTCAAAACAGTGGTCCATCGGATCAGATCAGCTATCAGCTCCAAAACAGTGGTCCATCTGATCGGATCAGATTCAAAACAGTGGTCCATCCGATCGAATTAAACACATTCTATGTTTCTTTAGAACTGGTCGCATTTGAACGACTTTAATAATATCGGCTATTATGGAAAAGTGGTCTAAAGTTAAATTTTGTGTTTCAGAGAGCGATGCCAAGCTTATTAAAGAGCTTGCTTTCTAGAAAGAATTTATCGAAATAACAAAGAAATATTGTCTTGAATCGGTTTGAATTTGATCCGAAAGTCGCATTCTCGGATCAGATTGGATGGGACTAGATTCAAAATTTCACTTTCGGATCAGATCGGAGCGGATTAGATTCAAAATTTCACTCTAGAATCACATCGGATTGGATTTGATCCGAAAATCGCATTCTCGGATCAGCTCAGATCGGATTAGATTCAAAATTTCACTTGTTCGGCTCAGATAGGAGCGAATTAGATTCAAAATTTCACTCTCGAATCACACAGGATCGGATTAGCTTCAAAATTTCCAAACAAATTTATCTGACCCTATCCGATCTGATATCGATTCATATTTTAAAGTTTTCTTTTAGCGGATTGTGACAAAATTGAGCGAAATCATGAAAATCTTTCATGAGAATTACTTCATTTGGCAACGGTTTGAGGGTGAATTGACGCAACAAATTGTGAAATTCGGGAGAAATTTCCCAAAGAACACTAACGCTGAGAAGATCGAATGGTAAGTGGTTCTCTAATTCTGAAATCCATCAAAAATTTCAGGCTTAAAGCTTTGGAGAAACGCTACGATTTGCTCATTAATTATTTGCGGTTGACTTTGCCACCGTATTTGACCTCGATTGGAATGACACAAGAAGGTTTATTTCTCGCTAATGTCTTTGCTAAAAGGCACTTGCCATAATCAAATCGTTATTTATTGAATATTTCAATTTTGGTATCATTTGATGAGTTATAGAAATCAGAAGGCGTAGTCAAAATCGAAATCGGCTAATCTGGAAGTTGATTGCGATAGTTTTCTAAAGTAAATGTCTTTTAGAGAAGGCTTTGATCGTAAAGAAAACATAGTTTGCTTGCGCTTTGAGAACACATACTTTAAGCATTTATCTTCAAATTTTGAACTTTCCAGCGGTCAAAAGAGTGGAATCAAATCTACAACCGTTTTTGACCCTCAACCTAGACACTCCGATACCAGAATGGGTCTGTTTTATCATTTCACAGTAGTGATACCGTATTCTCTCCAATAGTAGAGCACCCAGGCGTTTTTTCAAAGTTCTCGCAGAAGCTCAACACTCAAATCCCCCACTAGATTTCATCGTCAGCTACATTTTCCGATCCCACATCGATAGATTCTGATAAGCAGTTGTCGAGATTTCGAGGAATTTAAGCAACGCTCAGGGTGCACTACTATTAGAGAGAATACGGCAAATGTACTAACTAATATTTAAATCCTTTTAATATTTCAGGAAGAAGTGAATCTTTGCCGAAAATTCGTTCTCGATCCCGTTGATCTAGTTACACCACTTTTTTCAATCTCTTTGTTGATTTTGGGGGAAGCGGATATCAATTCGATTTGGTTAGTTGAAAAAACAAGGAGACTAAGATAAAGAGATTGTAAACTGAAGTTTTAAGTGCTGATCCAGTACTTTTCATCTTCTTATGTCAACTTTTTAGGATTGATCACGAAACAAAAATTCTTTACACTTCACCCATCGATGATTTGAGTTTTGAGGGGAAAAATGAGGTTGACTTTTGAGAAGAATCATTTTACATGGAATATTTTTTAGATCATGGAAAACTGGGAAAAAGATAAAGAAAAGCTGGTGAGAACGAACGAGTCGGAGGATCGGAAAAATGAGTCGAGTCCAGAAAGCTCTGCTTTAAACGAAAAGAAGACAAAGAAAGTGGAGAATTTGGAAAATCCCAAGAAATCCAAAGAACAATCGATTCAAACGGATTTACCAAAGGCAATCAATCTTTTACAATTGCGAGATGAGTTGGAAGAAGCTGAAAAGTCGAGAAGTTGCAGGTACTTTGAGCTTTTCCTAGCTTTTCCTAGCTTTTCCTAGCTTTTCCTAGCTTTTCCTAGCTTTTTCTAGCTTCTCCTAGCTTCTCCTAGCTTCTCCTAGCTTTTCCTAGCTTCTCCTAGTTTTTCCTAGCTTTTCCTAGCCTTTTCTAGCTTTTCCTAGCTTCTCCTAGCCTCTCCTAGCTTTTCCTAGCTTCTCCTAGCTTTTCCTAGCTTTTCCTATAAAAACTCGTAATCTTTCCTTTACAATTTCTCTGTTCTACTTTATTTTGATCCCATTCAGTTTAGAATTTGATTTTTCATCGAATCAGATCCATTTTAGATGAGTCAGGCAAAATCTGAATCAAAGTTACGATAGTTTTTCAAATTCTCAACTTTTTAGATAGAAATCATGAACTCGAGTAGTTAAAGTCCGTAAATTTTCATTCAGCTTTTGTCTACCTCACTTAAAATGGATTTTATTCGATATTCTCGTATTCTGGGTACTATCTTTTATCGTATTTTATCGTATCTTTAAATTACTGAAGAAATTTTTTCGGCTTTTCATAGAAATCCCTACAATTTCAGCTAAAAACTAGCTAAAAACTGAATGCACCTTTCAGTGAAGAAGACGAGTTCAGCCTTGAAATTGTCGACTTGATCTGTCCAATTTGCATGCAACAATGTAAGATTTTTGTCTAAAACTCATCGTTTAACGAATGTTTAGATGAAATTAAAGAGAAATATCCGATCACTTTTGTGCCTTGTGGACACGAGGCTTGTCAAAAATGTTTCATGAAATTAGCTCAAGAGAAGTAAGACTTTACAAGAGGAACTATAAAGGAACTAAATCGGAACTATAGAAAAAAAAGCAAAAAGAAGCAAAAAAAAAGCACTTAATTTCTAGAGACTCTTGTCCAAAATGTCAATCTCTGATTGCTTTGGGAATTGTGTCGATGGCGTTAATTGGTGAGTTGAAATAGGAACAGTGAACACTGCGATATCCAAATGAGTCTGTTTTATCATTTCACAGTAAAGATACTGTCTTCTGTCTAAGAGTAGTGCCGAGTTGATGACTATTTACCGTTTCTAAGCTTTCACAGACGCTCAAGACTCTAATCCTCTACTAGATCTCATCGTCAGCTACATTTTCCAACCCCACATCGATAGGTTTTGATCAGAACCTATCGATGTCGGAAAATGTAGCTGACAATAAGATCTTGTAGAGATTTCGAGCAATTTAGGCGCTCAGGCGCTACTATTAGAGAAAATTCGGTGACTTAAAAGACTTAAAAGGCAACTTGAGTTAAAAGATCACAGTCATAGTTTAAATCTTAAATGACAACAAACTATCATAGTTTTTAAGATGGAGAACTAAACGGTCTACCAAAATGGCTATGTTTACAAGATTTAAGCACAAAGTTTACCTCAAGAATTCTAGGCACTCTCAAAGCTCTTCTCCGACAGAAAGCTGCAAAAGAACGAGAAAATAGAAGCTCTTCTTTGGCGGTAAAATGATTCAGATCTTTATACAAGCTATTTTATCTCTAGCTATGGCTCTAGCTATGGCTCTAGCTATGGCTCTAGCTATGGCTTTAGCTATAACTCTAGCTAAAAATAAACTCAAAATTGCTACACAAAAGGTTTAGCAAAGTTGTGAGACTTCAACAGAATCATCCGAGCAACAAAAGGTATCAGAAAATGAAGCTGAAAATGGAGAAGTGAAACTAAAAAAGGTGATTTTAGTTGAATTTTTTGTCTTTAGAAGGTTTTAGAAGAGAAATAGGTCATTGAAAAGAGCCGGATGGAGATCGGAGGCAATCGGAGCCAAGCCAATCGAAGACAGAATCGGAAATCTGTCAAATGACTTTCCTGGTAAACTTTAATCGAAATTTGGCGTCAAAACGTATGCTTTAAAAAGATTCCATTACAAGCCAATCATAAGCCAACTACAAGCCAACCACAAGCCAATCACAAGCCAATCACAAGCCAATCACTAGCCAATTACAAGCCAATCACAAGCCAACTACAAAGCAATTACAAGCCAATCATAAGCCAATCATAAGCCAATCACAAGCCAATTACAAGCCAATCACAAGCCTTTACAACCCGCCATCATGCATTTAACTACAATATGCTAGAAATAGCTTCAAAAGAAAAACAAAAAGCTGCATCAGGAATCGAACTCTAATCTTGTGGGCGAAAGTTTAATGCTTTCTCCACAAAGGAGTCTTTTAAAGCATACGTTTTGACGCTAAATTTCGATTAAAGTTTACCAGGAAAGTCATTTAACAGATTCTGATTTCAGATTTGAATTCCTCATATCCGATTCTATAAAGGGCACTAGGTGTCCAAACAAAAGCTCAAAAAAAGCTCAAACAAAATTTCGAGCCTTTCCTTGGTTTAAAACCTTCAACCAAGACCTTGGTTTGCCTTGTCTTGTGCAAAGAAATTCTGAACTTAAACCAAGTTCAAGAACTTAAACCAAAATTGCCTACTCTAGCCATAAATCCCGTGTTTTGAGGGTTTAATTTGCAGCTTGATCAGAGCAAACTCCGTTTAACCGGTTTACCCAATGGATGGACGGTAAAGATCATTTTGGAGAAGCTTTTCAATAACGGGAAAACGATCGAAAAAGATGATGGACGGTTGGGTTTGTTGAGTTTAAAATTCATTTTACATTTTAGTTTGATCATTTCAACGAGGAATAGTGGCCGATTTCTTGAGTGTGTGGCTCACTTTGTGAGTGAGGATGCTGGGAGAAACGTATGAAGTTCTATAAATTCTATAAATTCTATAAATTCTATAAATTCTATAAATTCTACAAATATTCTACAAATATTCTGCAAATATACTACAAATAGATCAAGAAATTTATGCAAAATCGTATTATTGGTAGATTTTAAACATTTCTTATCAATTTTCATTCTTATAAGTACTAAAATTTTAGGCGTATCTCTTTTGTGAGCGAGCTTTTGCAACCGGGGATTTATTCGAGGCGAAAGTCAACTTTTTGGAAGTGGAGAGTGAGTTGAAAGCTTTAATTTTAGCTTTAACTTTAACTTTAATTTCTAAGGTAACTTAGTTTTTAGATTAATGATAAGTTAAGAATCAAAATCTATTCAAAATGATATAAACATTGGGGAATAAAGATTGGGCATAAGATTTGATATCCATTGAACTAACCGTAATACGTAAATGATCGGAGTGAATTGAATAGTGTTGAATGAAAGGAGAAGCACCGAAGAATCTCCACATAACAACAACGACACAAGACAGTATTTTCAAACTTTGCAAAGATTAATCGTTTAGGTAGAACTGTTGAGGTACAAATTGATAGTTTAAATTGATTAACCGATTAGCTGTTAACAACAACAAAGTTCCTACAAAGAAACTTTAAAACAAGTAGAGAAATCTTCCAGAGGACTTTCAAATTTCTCATGAAAAAGCCATCCACAAGAGTTAGCAGAAAGAAAATCAAACAATGTAACGATAACAATATGTACGTGTTAAATACCGGCCAAAAAAGAGGAGAAAACAAAAAGGAAGACTGATCAATTTTTAAAAGCGCTTAGAAATGGTAAAATAAGCACTAGCTACTACGGTTTGACAGAAAATTGAGAATCAAAAAGTTTGACAAAACACTTGATCCAAAAGTTGAAACATTTTAGAAAATGAGTGAAATTTACGATTAAATTAATGGAAGATTTGCAAAATATTAAATTGAAAAGATCCACCATCCCAGGGCTTCCATAAGACCTGAATTGTGCCTTGAATTTGTCTTTCTACTTATTAGAGCATTGAATATGCGCCAGTGATCGTAATCCGGTCGTTCTAAAGCATCTGATCCTTCCCTGAGTTACGGTAGCTGCATTCTTTAGATCGACTGGATCTGATCAGTTGCTCAATGCTCTAATGAGTTTCTAATAACATGCTTGCTTTAGAGTGGCTGAATTACTGGATTACTGAATTACTGGAGTACTGAATTACTGAATTACTGGATTACTGAATTACTGGAGTACTGAATTACTGAATTACTGGATTACTGAATTACTGGAGTACTGAATTACTGAATTACTGGATTACTAGAGGATTGAGTGTAAACAAATTCCTTACGATCAACAATTAGTCAAATAATTATAGTGTACTTTGCTTGGGCAACGTTTGTTCACAATCCAAATTCAATAAAAAAAAAAGTTTGACTGGAATCTCTTATAAATAAATCCATCAATTCAAGAACATTTTGTTCTATTATTTACAAGTCAACTCCAAGAAATTCCTCGTAAAAAAAATGAGTGCAGCTTTTCCTTAAAATTTTAGAGATTTTTGAAAAAGTATTATTGTCCAGCTTAAATTCAGATCACTTTTTATTACATAAAAACGATTCCTTACGAGATAAAGCTAGTATAAACAAGCAATACACTCTATAATCTCTATTTTTGACCAAGAAACTTTGTTACAGAGAAGCTGTATTTCGTAAAAATCATTTTTTGATGTCATTTTCTTGGCACTGAGTGTTTGCTTTGATTCTAAAAAGTTAAAACATTAAATTAAATTTGCCTTTATCACATCTTTTCTCTATTTTAAATACTTGATTTTAGGTTTGAATGGGATTCACTACCCATTCATTAACCCATTAAAAACTTCTCTAAAAGCTGATCACTCAAAAAGTAACCAAGTCACTTCAGCTGAAGAAATCTCTTGTCAATCTTTGTCAAAAACTTTTTGAATAGAAAAGTTTATTAAAAAAATCTGGGAAGAAATGATGGCTTGAATTTGCAAACATTTTCGTGCAAACATTTTCTGAGAACTTTTTTCCAACCTAATATTTGAAAATTTCAATTTTAAAGAGATAAAGCAAGATATTCAGCTGATTCTGATCATGAAATCGAAGATGAACAAAATGTGGCGAAGAACAAAAAGCCTTCCAGTTCTAATAACTTCATTGCAAAAGCTAATCCGGTAAGTGGTGAAATCAAAGTGTCAAAATTGATGAGTGAGTAAAAATGAAGGGTACAGGGTGTCCCAATTCTCATACTTCTTTTGTGAACTCTGTATAAAGTTATTTTTGATTCTTTCTTTTGCTTTTTCAATTCTTTCATATTCTTCACACTATGTTTTATCAATTTAAAACAGAAAAATGTTTTCATAAAGAATTTTCAATCAACATGAATGCCAAAAAACGACAAACCACGATTCTGGAGCTGCACAAAGCTGGAAAGGAGCCAATGAAAATCGTTCCAATGATCAAATACAACAAAATGATTGTCTACAATACTATCACAGGCTTTCGAGAGTTGGGAAGCGATAAGGACCGTTCAAGAATTGGCCGTTCAGAACCAGAGCAATGATAAGGATCGTTCAAGAATTGGCTGTTCAGAACCAGAGCATTGATCAGGACCGTTCAAGAATTGGCTGTTCAGAACCAGAGCAATGATAAGGACCGTTCCAGAATTGGCTGCCACCAGAACATCAACAAGCTTCATTTTCGGATTCAACGAAATCCTCGATAAGAAAAGAAGCTAAAAGTATTGAAATCAGCAAAAATAGCGTTTGGAGGATTTTCAACAAGAAACTCGAACTTCGTAGAATTGCCCGTGTTCATTTTTTGAATAAAAGAATGAAGAAGAAACAAAAGCTCCAATACAAGAAGATGCTTGGTCGCTGCAGATCGCCTACACAAGGTCCTGTTCACCGATGAGAAGATTTTCACCATTCAACCGCGACACAATTGCCAGAATCATCACCAGCTGCTTAAACGAGGTCTTAAAAACAAGTTGCAGTAAAATAATGATTAGACAACATTTCCCAGCTTGTGATGGCCTGCGGTGGAATCTATGCCACGGGGAAGTTTTTTTGACTCGTTTCCACTCGTCTTTTTGGACCAAAACGTAAAAATCAATACTAAAATCTACCAAGAAAAGCTTTTAAAGCATGTCTTAGAAATTTTAACCTTAAATTCTTTTGGATAGAACAAATTTACTCTTCAACAAGATTGGACTTCAGCTTATGGAGCCCGTTCAACGACTCAGCTTTGCAATCAGATATTTCTGGGCTGAGACAAAGACGTTTAGGCTTTGAATATCATCGATTTAAACCCTCTTGACTTTTCAATGTGATCAATTTTTGAAGACAAGGTATTAGACAAGATATTAGACAAGCATTTTCACACAGTTGATGCTTTGAAAGTCTGGATGGGAATCTGCAGCAATGTCCATCGTCAAGAACTTCCCAAAGCAATTAAAGAAATGTATTGAAGCTGATGGTGGAAATCTTAAACATTTGTTATAATTTTTTTGTTAGTTTAGCGTTCACTAAACAGCTTGTTGCTTTTGATTTAAAATTAAATAAGTTTAGACTTTTGAATATCTTAACAAAAAGTATAAGAACTTTTGGGACACTCTGTAATTACTATAGCTAGCTTTTTCTGGCTTCAAAATTAGCTATTAATTAGGAAACTTTTAATAGATGAGTTCTCCATTTGATTTAAATTGTTTCCAGCCTGATAAGAAACGTATTTTCATCAGTGGACTTCCAAAAGATTTCACGGAAAGCGATGTGATTGAGAAAATCGTTGGTGGCAGGGATCGGTTGGGAAATGAAGAGAATAAGTGAGTGAATAAGGAAAATTTGAAAACTTTTCAATAATCAAAGCTTTCTTCAGATCAATCATCCTGCGACCCACATGTTTAGGCCAAAATTGCATTGTATCGCTGAAGAATGAAGCAATCTCAAAAAAAGTAACCATCAAGATTTTCCAAAAGATCTTCCAAAAGCTTTTCCAGAAGCTTTTCCAAAAGCAATCAACATTTTAGTGCATTTCAAACTGGAATAGTCAAGCGTTGAATGATCGTCGATTGATTGTCGAGTATTTGGGCCAATGTGATCGAGATTTTTCGCAAAACTATTCTCAAGATATTAATGCGCCTACGAAAAAGAAAGGTTTATCACAAAATTAGAAAAAAATCCAAAAATTAGAACAAGATATTGACACTGAAATCTCGAAATTGACACTGAAATCTAAATTTATTAATTTCAGGAATGAAACGAATCATCCCACATCCCTTCAATGAAATTCCGTTCATTGTCGATTTTGGGAAAAGTTATCTAGCAAGTGATTGTACATTGAAATACAAGTGGAAGCTGGTAATCACTGGATTGCCGATCACATTCTCTCGGCAAGATCTAAAGAAAGTATTATCGCTAAGTGGTGTGGAAAGTGACAAAAGCACAGAAAATGAGAGGTCGGTTGTCAAAGTTGATATCAAAGCTTATAGCAAATTCTATCAATTTACCAATTTAAATTCCAGATATTGGGGAAACATTTGCTTAGAATTAAAGGCAAATTTCCAACTCGGATTCGTGTATTTCACAAGCAAAACTAGCGCTAAAAAGGTGAGAGAAATTGATTGAAAAGATTGAAATTGATTGAAAATAGATCGAAATTGAATGAATTTTGTTTATTTTATCTTTAGGCAAAGGATTGTTTAATTGAAAATACAGAAGAATCACTGAGTGCCTCAATTCTACAGATTGAACTCATCGAGATTGGTTTTATTGAGAAACAAAATGGTTGGTGATAGAAATCGTAAAAGATAGAAAAGTCAAGAAAAGCTAAGAAAAGCTAAGCAAAGCTAGAAAAGTATTTAAACAGCAATAATATAATAAACTTATAATCAACTTACTGTCACATATGACAATAGCCGGCAGTTTTCAATTCACCAACCCAATAGAAACTGTAAAAGATAGAAAAGTCAAACGGTATTTAAACAGCAATAATATAATAAAATTACTCTTGCAAGCTCTTAAACAAAAAAAAGTCAAATCTAGAAAATCATGTGAGAACGAGTTTGAAAAATGGTGATTTACGGAAACGAGAGTTTGGATTAGGGTTAATCCCTCGGCGCTGGCCAGCTAAGGTTTGTTGAAAATCTTTTTGATTTATTAGAAAGAAAGCTTTTTTGATTTTAAAGTTTTAAACAAGTTGAAATGTTTGTAATTTATTCAACTCTAGCCTAAAATGAGGGAACTCTTCATCTCCGGGATTCCGATCTATTTCTCTTTTCGAGGCATCGTTTTCAACCTTCTTGGTGGTAGTGCAAGTTTTGACAACTACAATGAAGAGTGAGTGAAAGAAAGCAGTTTCAATTTCTCAGATAAGCTATAGATATAGCTATAGCTAATAGATAAGTTAATTTTTCAATTGAGCCTTTTGATTTGATTCCTCGGAAGCCACAGTTGGGTTGAGAATGACGTCTAGTCTTACGGCTAGACGTCATTCAGTCTCTCTTTGACTCCGGCAGTTTTCTAAAACAAATACATTTTAGAAAAGAATAAAAGAAGTTAGCCAAGAAGAATACAGTCATGAATAATTTAAAAGCATCTTTCCAGCGTAATTTTCAACAGAGTTCCGGGACCGGCACTGAACTGTCTGGCAGCATTTCGCGATGAGAAACAAGCTGAGAAGGTATTTTTGCAAACTTTAGACTGATTTGATCTTTAGACTTCTTAAAAGTAATCGAATTTCGAATTAAATTAAATTAATTTAAAGTAATCAAAGGAATTAAAAATCTGCGGTCAATGCCCCAAAAATATAGATAAAAGCGGCATTGAGCAATCGAATTCTCGAGGGAACACATCGAATTTTCGTCGAAACTTATGGAGTAACAAGAAGAGACTTTGACATAAATTACGGAGATTTTGTAGAAATTGGTGTGGAATAAAGTTTTGAGTATTTTGTGTGGTTTTAAAAATTGCTTTAGCTTTTTTTTACAGCTATAATCATCTCATTGTTGTTGAATGAGATGTTTTACGGATACATTTGTGATGAACATTTGATGCAAAATTTGTGAATTGATATTTGAATTGCATTTTTGCTTTCTCAAAGTTTTATAAAGCGCTAACAGGTAGCGTATTTAACTAGAAACCAGTTTTATACAAATACAATTATAGTTTCTAACTCTGTTTTTTCGCTCTCTTATCGTTACTAATGAACTAAATTGCTCCGATTTTATTTTTTTTTGGGTTTTCCTCAACGGTTTTGCGCAACTTCAAGTCATCGATTACCGGTGATGGATGGCCTCGATCCTAGTCGTCAAGATCCTCATTCCCTTTGTAAAATCGCTGGAACCAAGCTCAACATTGTCTTTCGGAGATTTCTGATTGGCCAAATACATTTGCAATGGCTCTATGGCAATCGGCTGCCATTTTTCCTTGCTTGAAGTTATAAAGCATACAAACTCGAATTCAATACTTCAAAGCGTTCATCCTAAAAGTTAATATTAGCAGGGTAGGAAGACAAATCGAGAACCAAGAAAACAAGCAAGAAAACAGATTTCAAGTAACATAAAAATATATTGCTTAGATAGCCAGCAATCAACATTTAACGATAAAAGATTTTGCGGCGGTTTCCTTCAGTTCAACCCAATATTAAGTACTTCAGATCAACTAATGAGAATCGCTAAGCCGAAAATTAACTGTTTAAATTAACTGTTAACTCCGGGGTAGGCTAATTTCCGCCATTTTATTTGCGCGACTCGCCATAACTTTCTTCTAAATGGATGAATCTTTATGATTTTGGTGTCATTTTGTAGATCTCAATAAGTGCAACAAAATGACACCAAAATCATAAAGATTCATCCATTTAGAAGAAAGTTATGGCGAGTTGCGCAAATTAAATGACCCAGTTGCGCAAATGACTCTGTTGTGCAAATAAAATGACGGAAATTAGCCTACCCGAAAATTTCATTTTATTTGATGATTTAGAAAATACATTTTTTCGAAATAAACATCTTATTTGTTTATCTTAGTTGTTTATTTGTTAGTTTGACCGTTTGTTTTCTTTATTGCTTCTAGATCGGCCCATTTTCTCTCTTTGAGGGCTTCCCGATACCCCAAGCTCGTCTTTTTTTGTTTGAAATGAAATTTCGCATTTTATAAGGCGAATGCTTCCTTATTTAAGAAATTTTGCTTTATAAAAAATTCAACAAACTGCGAGAGAGGCGAATTTCAGCAAAGGGAACTCTGGAACGCGCTATAACTTGCTTCGTTGTTCATCGATTTAGATGATTTTACTACCGTTTTTCTGCTCTCATCGAGAGCTACAAAATGGTATTAAAATTCTTGTAATAGTTCAAATACTATGAAAAACCCGCTTCCTTATTTTTGGACTTATTATAAGTATTTTGGAATCATTTTGTAGCTCCAAGTTGACAAAATGAAGCTAAATGCACTTTTGCATTGGATACTGAAGTTTAGCTGAATGTTTTCATAGTTGAATCAACGCAAAAATCAGCAATCAATGCAGTCCACCCATTAAATTCTACTCTGTGATTTCTCTTTTTTGGTTTCCAAAAGAAAAAAACACAAACACAGAACATTTATCGGTTCTCTTTTTGTGAACATTTCTCTCTTTCTTCATAAAGCATTTATAATTTCCCCTGTCGATAGAAGTGCCGCGTTTTTTCTTGACCTTTAATAACACAAATAAAGTTCGGCAAAACCGAGTTTAAAGTTCGTCAGATTTTAAAACTCGAATTTCTAATGCTACTAATTTCTCGAAAAAAGCTTTTGAAGTTGTCTTGCCGTGACTTTCTCTTTCTAACATAGTTTTCTTAATCTTTTTACAATGTTTAATATCTTTTCTTTCAGATAAAATGGGAAACGAGCACAGCCATGATGGGAAAAAGACGAAACAATCAGCTCATGATGGTGCAAAAGGTGATCACGTCGATCCGCGAGCGAAAACCGCCTTCAACGTGCTCTCGGCTGGGACAAACACTGTAACGGAAGCTCATGTTAAGGTAAATTTTGTGGTTTAAAAAGATTAGAAAAAGGTACATCTTTGGAAGTAAAATTAAAGGTAATTTAAAGAACTAGAATAAAATAAGCGAGGTAGAAGCGAGGTTATACAGTTATTTTGACCTCTTGTCTTCAAAAACATTTCTTGTTCAACAATTTCGAGTACAAAAAGCTAAATAAACATCTTGAGCTAAAGCTCTTGATCTTTATTTTATTCTTTAGAAACAATTCACAGAAGATTTGGCTGACTCGTTGTGGAAGTACTTCTCTGCCGATTCCCCGTCAGCAAGCGGTCTCACTTTCGAGCAACTTTCTTCAAAGTTGATTCCACTTTTTGGCACCTCAACAGATATTTACGTGAAAATATGTCAAGTTGGTTTTTATTTTCTTTCAATTTATTAGAATTTTAAAGTGATTCAACATTTCATTTTAGTTTTTTCGAAGGTTTACAAAAGCCATTCGTTTAACCTGGCGGTTTTTGTTTTAAACAATGATTTTATTTATTCAGCCAATTCATCATTTCATCAAAGTGTGCCTCGAATCGGCGGGTGGACAAGCTTACGAGAATGATGTCACGTTTATCAATTTGCTCATCAAAGATATAGTGAGTAGTTTAAAAATAAAGTTATCCTTATTCTCCAAAAATGCAAATTTAACCACGAAATGCGTAAAGTTTGGCATGACTTCTATTAAAAAGGCATTTTTAATCATTTCTGGTTTAGACAAAACATGGCGACGCGTGGACATCGATTGTCGAGTGGAAAAACGTGCGTTGTCCCCGTTTCTGTCATGCTCTTCAAGGAGTTGTCTTAAACAAGCTACTCAACTATGATATGGTTAGTGTTATTTGGTTTCGAAACAACCCGTAAACTTCGACAAAAGAACGTTATTGTTATTGCAGTTTCACGTATCGATCAGTGTAAATGGAACTGTTTTAGCAAAGTTGAAAGTTGCAAGCGACTAGTTTACAGTGCGATTTTACTACAGTTACTAGAAATTATTTACAGCCCAATATCGATCTATCATCGGACGTCCTATCTCCACTTCAAATGCTTTACCTGCAAAGCTCATTACCGACTTCTTATTTTCCGAAAGACAAGGTAATTTTATATTTTTATATTTTAGAGCAGATACTTCTATAAATTACAAAATCAGAACACCGTTTTCACAAATTTCTTTTAGGCTTCCGGTGAAATTGTTCGTTGGACTCCGCTCTATACAAGTGCCATGCAGGGTGTCAGTGTGAATCGCTTTGAAACGAATGTTTTTGATTATAAAGGTAGTTTTTGCATGTTTTAAATTAAAATAACAGGTAGTGGGACAAATGCGACCTTTTTTCCGCACTCCGCCCTATTAGCACACCCATTTTCGCATTTTAAAAAGGCTCTAAAAAGCTAATATCAACCAATTTCTATTCCAAAAGTTGCTTTTGTGGGTAATTTTAGGGTGTAGAATCTAAATTTTGACATATCAGAGCTTATGGAATCAATTTCAAAATAAAACGGGTAGGCCAAATTACAGAAAATTGTCGATTTTTCTCTATGTATAACTCCGTCTGTTTGCTTCCACAAGTTCTGGTATGTAAAAATTTGGATTCTACGCTCTAAAACTACCCAGAAAAAACAACTTTTGGAATGGAAATTAGTTGATATTAGCTTTTTAGAGCTTTTTTAAAACGCGAAAAAAGGTGCGCTAATGGGCCAGGTGCGGAAAAAAGGTATTTATCCCACTCCCGAAATAACATTTTACTTTTAGGCCACACTGTCAGTATATTCTCAACAAGGGACAAAAGAACGGTGGTTATTGCAAGTGATACAACGTTGAGGTAGATAAAAAGAGGTATCTGTAGATAGATTCTTTTTAGGAATTCAACGGCTCCATATGGTGGCTCGGATACAGTCTATTATGAGATTAGCCCAGCGCTAATGCGGATAGAGGCCATGAACTCGATTTACTCAAACTTTAAGGTAAAGATTTTGCTTTAGGCTAGTGATTATTAATAAAGCTAATGACAAGAGGAGTCTGCCGATTTACTGAATAGTGTTTTTAGATTCGATCAGCTTCTCTGGGTTTCTCCTTCAAAGATCTTTTGAAAATCGACAAGGAGTTGAGCGAAGTGACAGCTATTGAGGTGAGTAAATGCTTTAACGCGTAGTGTTTTTACTTCAAAAGTAAATAGCAAATATGTTTAATTGCCACGATGAGCGGTTGCGCGTTACTTACTTTAAGTTCAGGTTTGGGGATGTGCTGCTGGAAATTCACTGCAAGAACAACGAAAGCTCCGCGAATGGCAGAACAATCAAGCAGAGCGGAACAAAAAAGTGACTTCGTTTTTTTCTTTTTTAATCTTTATTTTTTAGGTGCCACTACCGGGTAACTGGGACGACAATCCGGATAAATCGTTGCTTGAGATGGCCGGATTTCAATTCAGGTAAGTGATTTTTGATTGCCAGGTGCAAAGTGATGGGACGGCTTTTCTGACGGTTGTATTCCATTGAATCAAGTCACCAAGTTATATCCTTCGCCGCAAATTTACATTTTTGTTAGCATTAGAAAAAAGCCTGAATTGCTCATTGCATCAGGTCGGTTATGTCCGCAAATTTGCTTTTTGTAATAGCATTACAGAAAAATTTAGATCCCTCTTGCATCAAGTCGGTTATGTCCGCGCGTTTATTGATAGATTTACTATTTTAAATGCAGATTTTGGAAGCTATGTCTTTAATTTAATAGTATTTTTCTAATGTTTCACGAAATGCAAATTTGGGAGACATAAGTTTTATCTTAAAAGCATCTTTAGTAACGAACGAGCGAATATGGAGATGGAAGCTCGTCGACGGGAAGAAGCGAACAAATCGTAACTTATCCGTGAAATTCACTGCTAGTCATGTAAATAGAAAATTGGTTGTGAATAAATTATTACAACTTGTGATTTCTATCGGAATGACAAGTGAAAGACTCAGAGAAAACAAGCGATTTTAGGCGGATAACCCAGAAAGACGAAATAAAAAAAAACTTCAGCTCAAAGAGAATAACGACTGGATTATTGGGTATTCAGCCCAGTGGTTTGCAGTGATGATAAGAATTTGTTCGTTCACTTGTCTGAGTTTCTGGGAAAGTTTCACAAAAACAACATTCTAAAGGAAAGCTGCAATTGGAATTTTTGTTCTTACTGCTTCAACCGTGAAAACTTTTGAATTGGATCCAGAAAATTCATCGTATGCCATTCGAATCCATTTGCAACAATCTCAAGTAAAAAAGGCTTAATCATTTGAATTTAAGATTTAGAGCATAAAACTTATTACCAAGAAAAAAAGTTGGTTTTCTGTTCGATTTCTCACAACGCGATTGCAAGCAATTTCCGACGATCGACCCGGGGAAACAGGTGAGAATCTGGAATTTTTGAGGTTTGACTTTTTTGATTGAATTTGGATTGTGAACAAACGTTGCCCAAGCAAAGTACACTATAATTATTTGACAAATGTTGATCATAAATTTGTTTACACTCAATCCTCTAGTAATCCAGTAATTCAGTAATTCAGCCACTCTAAAGCATGCTCCAGTTATTAGAAACTTGCTAGAGCATTGAGCAATCGCTCAGATCTAGCCGATCTAAAGAATGCACCAACTACCGTAACTCAGGGAAGGATCGGATGCTTTAGAACGACCGGATTACGATCACTGGCGCATATTCAATGCTCTAACAAGTAGAAAGACAAATTCAAAACACAATTCAAGTCATATGAAGGCCCTGAGATGGTGGATCTGTTTCCAGAAATTGTCTTTTTCTTCGGCTACAAGTTGTGAGATCTCACAGTGAACAGATCCACCAAATCCAATACCTAATTCAATCAATTTTCCGATTTCCTTCTATATTTTCATTTTCATCTTTGCAATTCATAAATGATTTAAATTCTCCCTGCCCTTCAGCTCATTTCATCTTTAAAGATCATTCAAAACCGGATTTTTCGTCAAAATTTCGTGAAAATGAGAGAAATCCCAGTGAAATGGGTCAATCCGCTTTTCCATTTCGTTTGGAAATTCCAATGAAAAGATTTCTTTTGTTTCTTTTTTTATCAACAGTTGACGCTGGTTTCAGTAAGTTTTACTCGAAAGTTTTATGTAAAATTGACTTAGCTGCTCAATGCTTCACAACTCGTTTCAACCATGCCATTTCAAATGCCGATCCGGTCACTGAATTGTTTGAGTTGAATTTAGCGGATTGCCTGAATTATTGCATTCTGAATGCAGCGAAAGCTGGGGTGAGTCTGTTGCGAAAAAATTGTTTAATAAGCTTTGCTTTGTTTAATAAGCTTTACTTTGTTTACTAAATCGTTAGCTTTGTTTGTTAAAGCAAAGAACTAATGATTGTATGACAAAAAACGACTTAATAGTACTAGATTTTCACTCACAATTTCAAACAATTTTTATTTCAACATTTCAACAACAACTTCTATATTTTAGCACTAGTTCAATGAGCAAAAAGTCTCTTGAAAAATTAAGTGACTAATGATGTTATTGCTAATGAATTGCGAAGGGAAAGTACTGATAAAATATCTGGTTTAATTCTATTATAAAATACTAGTAACAGTTGCGTTTTTTAACGAATGAATATCAAAAGCGCATCACTTTTATTTTATCAGCACTTTCACACCACAACTCAATACTATTCAGTGAATTATAACCGTAATACCTGTGATAGTAGCGCCGGCGCTGCATATTTGTTCAGCAAATATGTGCTTGAAAGTGCTCTCTTCAATTTTCTTGTTCACGTTCAGAAAATGGTTGACAAGAAGTTTCTCAAATTTGCTAGGAAGCTTTTGACATGTTGTGGTCGCCGTTCTCAATGAGAATTGGTGCCGCTTTCGAAACAATTCTATCCAACTTTGACCTCTTTTTAAGGGAATCTCTGCATCAGCAAATCAATTAGCCGCTTCGTTCCAGATCATTCGACGAGTCACTCGCTTTTTTCGCTCCTTTTCTCAAGAATCCATATTGCCAAAGCTTCCTCAATCTCTTTTGAGGTCAAAGCGTGTCCGCCACCAACGAACCGCTTCTTTTTCGTGCATTTTGCTCAGCTCATTTGTTTGTTTGCTGTATCGTTGGACACAAGCTCAATCCATTTTGTAGAGTCTGGCAGCGGCATGAACGGACCTCGCAAGCCATTTTTGCAGCATCAAGTTTAGCCATCGCATCTATCGCTTTTTTTTGCTTTAGCTTGTCCGTTCCCTCGTTTGCTTCTTTGTCCGATTCCTCGTGGAATTCTTCGTTCAATTTACGTTGATGTTCTCGTTCTTCATCAAAGAATTCGTTTAGTTCGTGCTCACGTCGATCGCGAAACGCTTCAAAGTCATTCCAGCTTTCGTGATCGCTCATCAAACCTAAAAAAATAAAATTATCAAAGAAAACGAATAAGAAATGCTAGAAAAGCAGTAAAAGAAGAAGAATTGAAAATTTTATAGTTGCAAGCTAAAAAGGAAAGCAGAATGTCTTGAGATTTCTCGTAAACATTAAGATATTCAGTTAAAGAGCGCTAGTATTAAACGGAGGCTACCATTAGAGGGGGTGCTTCTATTACAGGTATTACCGAAGCACTTTAGAATATTCAAAAAGTAAAAGCACGTCTGTGAAAGCAAAAAAAAGAAAGCTTTCCATTTTTCAGGACGGTTGTTCATCGATTGTCTACCATAAAGAGTTTAACACTTGTCAAATCTATGGCCATGACGGAACGATGGGTGGAGCACAAATTGTCCCTGTTAACAATCACGATTACTACAATCGATCTAGTTACATAGGTGCTTGCCAGGATCGTGTTGGTGAGTTGAGAACCATGAATTTTAAATGTTATCGGTTTTGGTCCCGAAACGAGGCTACCAGCAACGACCACGACAGTACAGTGTTCACACGGTGAAGGTGAGGAAATGGGTAAAGAGTATGACTTGCGACGAGCTTTTTCCAGTTATAAAGCATGTCCTAGCTACCGTAACCTGCTCTAATTCAATCAGCTACCGTAACCCCAGCTACTTAGTCCCAATAGTATCAACTGCAGTAACCAGTTGCCTAACCTGAATTACTGTAGCCTCAACCACCAACTTCAGGAACCTTTTCCCGAGTTGCCCGATTTGCCAACGATTCTCGTTAACTCGAAAGACTCATTTGAACAATCAAAAGAAGAATTGGCTGTGATTGAGAATGTTCACCCAAATGAGGTATTTCTTTTTAAAAGCTTTCCCAATTCCAATCTAGAACTCGAACAAGGATGTTGCTTCTCCGGATGAGTTTCTCCGTCTCAAACATCTCACCGACATTCTTGATGGAGAGGCTGAAGTGCCGGCTGAGGAAACGATCACTTTCTTCAATCCGACAATGACCAATCGTGAGTTTTGGCTTTTTCGAATACGGTGTTTTCCTTCAGTTTGCACTAAACAAGAAGTCGTTTCCTATTTCGTGCTCTTTGGGAAATCCCTATCGGCAGCCGTTCGACCGTCAAAAGTTCGCGGAATCGATCAAAGCAGTTGTATTATGTACTGTTCGCAGAATATTGTGAGTAAAGACTGAACTTGATGAAAATATGAAAGAGTTTAGAACTCAACCGGCTCAAAATCTCCATGTTATGCCGCAAATTACGATCCAGCTCTCGAGGAGTGTCGTTTATATGATAAAGACGCGAAATCCGATCGCCATTCGGCTCAACTCGCTGACGATAAGAATATCATTTTTGTGGACAAATTCTGTATACAAAGTTCGTTGGAATACATATTTATCCAACAATTTTTGAAGATTAGTACTCGAAAAAGCTCAACTATAAGAGCTTTCTGTAAACTACGGTTGAAAGTTGTAGTGGCTAGTGTCGATGGGTGAGAAATGGCATACCGAATTGAATCTAACAATGGAATGACACCAGCTAGAAGTTGAGAATCGCTTCGTGACATAGAATCGGCTATGCTAGTTCCAAATTTGTAAAAATTAGCTAAAAATAGCTCATCAATTTCACCTGGGACTTATGAACTTCAAAATGCAAAGATAAGTGTAAATAACAATCTAAAACTTCGCGTTTTTTTTGAACAAAAAACCTCTTTGCTTTACAAAGACCACTGCTTTTGTTAGCAGAGTTAATAAAGTTATGAAGTAATGATGAATTTGAGAATTGAAGGTTTAGAAGTTAGAAGAAGTTGAAGATGAAGTTGTAAAAGGGTGCATAAAACAAATATTTAATGCAAAGACATTAGAAAAAGAATTTTCCAAAAAGTAAGAATGGACCAGAGGAGGATTCGAACCTAAGCCAAAAACTTGATAGTATGCTCAGTAGGCTAGCACACTAGACTATTAAATTTGTTGAAAAGTTTGTTTGTGGCGGTCCTATGAAGAAACGTTGAAGGCCCCAGACTCCAGAAATTTAAGGGAATTTTCTATGCCAGATTCCTTGCGTGGGTATTTGCAGCTAATTTTTACAGCTTCAGAATTCGTATAGCCGATTCTATGAGATGCACTTGGTCACGAAGCGATTCTCAACTTCGAGCTGGTGTCATTCCCTTGTAAGCTATAGATCTGGGAAAATAGATCTGTAAATGGGTGTAGCTATAGATGCGTTAATGGGTGTACAGTGTACTGTTCAAAATAGTGTACCTGGTTACCAATCCAAAGCTTGAGGGTACGGCTCGAAAATAGGAGTTTACGGCATTTTGTAAGGTGTCCTTTAATGAGTAATCAGTTCAACACGAGCTCGTTATTCCAAAGTGTACCCCAAAATCCTAAATTCATCTTTTTGTTTAGCCAAAAAGGACTGCTCAGCCGATTCCCCATACATTGTTTACATGCATAAACAGATCACCCAAAAGATCGTCGCTCATTATCCGGATGTTCACTCGATTGTCGCCTGTATGGCACTTTGCATAGATCATGGAGGGTGCAAGGTAGGAATGATATTCGATCTTTGTCAAACGATTTTTAGGCTACAACATATAAACTTGGAGGTCTTTGCATCTTGCATGGTGCCTCACCGGCTGTTGATTCGAATCTCTTAGTTGATGGAAATGAAAAGACGATGGTGGTTGAGAATGGCTGTCAGACAAGTGCAAGAGCTGTGCCAAGCTTGCTTTCTGGAGCAATGGGTAAGTTGGAGAAGATATTGAGATCAGTAAATTGATCAATACGCTCAATTTTGAAGCATTTAAGTGTTGGCTTCTATTTTTGCTTTTTTCTTAGTGCACAGATTTTAACCTGCACTAAAACCTGCACTAAAACCAATTTTTAGATGTTCTAAAAGTGTCAATAAACAATAAAAAGCTACAGGGTTCCTGGAAAAAGGAAAAGATGAAAAATTTGATAATGCCCAAGAGATTGATGAGATTCTAGAGATTCTAGATAATTCTTAATTGGCTTTTAGAGATTCTGATTTTAAAAAGTTCAAATCTTTCGTGGTAGCTACAATTTTAGACATCTTTTGCTATTTCTTCAATGCGTGAATAAGAAATTTCTCGTCCTCCATTTTTTTCAGGAAAATAGGGGCTCAGAAATTTGAAATGCAAATCCACATGAGTCACTCCTGCAGGGTGTCTCTCATGCGGCTCATCCTGGAGACTTTCGTTGCCGCTTTGAAAGCATTGAAACCATTTTCGACATTGATTTTCGCTAATACTTCCATTTCCAAAAGCGGAAATAATTGTACGATGAGATTCAGCGGCTGAATTTCCTTGTTTAAAATCGTAGAGGATAGGTGCGCGAATAAGAAATTTTTCGTCCTCCATTTTTTCAAGAAAATAGGGGCTCAGAGATTTGAAATGTTTACGCTAAAATATTGCAGTTTATTTGCAGCAAAAAACCCCGCGAAAAATCTTTTTGAATTCTGAGAAATCATTGAACAAAGCAAGCGATCGTTTATAACTTGCCAACCTAATATTTAGCAGAACTTTAGCTGAGCTTCCTACTGTTTATAAACATCCCATGTAGCTTCCTACTGTTTATAAACACTTTAGAATACCTAAGAATTGGTTTTAGTGCAAAAGCAAAAAAACCTTCTAAGAGTGAGAGGATTAGAACCAGGGAAAGAAGGCGCAAAGGGCGAGCGTACTATCCATTACGCCATCTGGATACTTTTTAATTGGGAAGTAATTCTCGCCCATAATTCTTCGCGGTGGTCCCGTTTATCCAAAAAGTGCCCAAACTTTAAACGCTTTTTCCTCGAAATTTTTATATGCATTGGGTAAAATTGAAAAATAGGTGTTGCTTAAAATTTTAAGGGAGCATTTTTGCACATACAATCGATTCTCTCTATAACGGAATGGAAGGGACTAAAAAAAATTCCCCGTTAATAGAGCTTCCCGTTATATAGATTGCCGTTATATATAGCTTAGCGTCGGCCGGGATCAAAATTCCATTCCGTTATATAGTTTTCCGCTATATAGAGTTCCGTTATAGAGAGAGTCGACTGTATCTTGAATCCATTTTAACTCGAAATAGTTTTCTAGTAAGTAGCTTGAAAATCAAAGAAAAGGAATCGTACCAAAGATACGATTATTTTCACAAGAAACTCTTAGAACGAATGGGCTCTGAACAATCACAAGAAGCTGAGAGGGAAGTCGCGGCATCGGATTGGGGAGAATGGTTGGTTTGATAATTGTGATCTTTTTCCCAGAAAATCCTCGGTTGGCGCTTTAAATCGTGGTAAAACTACTCTACCCCTCTAATTTGCGCGAAATTTAATTTTATTATCTTTGCGTCTTTTTCAACGTTTCAATGTTTTTTCAACTAAAAAGTCACAAAAAGAGAGGAACTATAAAGGAACTATAAAGGAACTATAAAGGAACTATAAAGGAACTAAATCGGAACTACAAAGGAACTAAATAGGAACTATAAAGGAACTATAAAGGAACTAAATCGGAACTACAAAGGAACTAAATAGGAACTATAAAGGAACTATAAAGGAACTATAAACAAAGCATCCGCCATAGAAAATGATAAAAACCACTTAACTCAACATTAGTTGGCATCAAGTTCGTGGAGTAGATCGTCGGGAAGCAAGTGGGTCTAAAAAAACCTCTACAAACAAAGCTTCTGCCACAGAAACTGCTGTTAAAAATGTAAATTAGCTTTAGGTACTAATAAAGTTGGGGAAACACTTTTTTTTCTTCAAAACCACTTTTTCTTGAGTAATTTTATGTGTAGATTTCGAAAAACACAACGAGAGCTTGGGGAAATGCGTTTTAAGCCGAGTTTCGGGACTCCAAAGTGCGCGCGTATAAAGTGTGATGAGAGGGATACACAATAGAGAAGAGGTGTAAAAAATGATCTCTCAAAAGATTTTTTGAAACCACAAAGACTTCTTCTGGCATAATTTGACCTACTGATTACGTTTCTGATCAAATTGAAGCAAAATAAAAACATCTTTTCCAAATTTCGACCATGTGGGTCAAAATCAATCAAAATCTCAAAAAATATTTTTTCAATTTTTTTGCCGCCTCTCAATTTAGAAGAATTAGTGGTTAAAAATAATGTTGGCTCTAGTTTTGACGTTTAAAAGTGCTCCAATAGTCGATAGGCACATAGTGAAGCACATAATGAAATAACACTATAGAAGCGCGCACTTTGGATTTCCAATACGGTTCCTATTTTGATCTAATACGGTTCCAATACGGATCCAATACGGTTCCAATACGATTCCAATACGGTTCCAATACGGTTCCAATACGGTTCCAATACGGTTCCTATTTTGATCTAATACGCTTCCAAATACGGTTCCTATTTTGATCTAATTCGGTTCCAATACGGATCCAATACGATTCCAATACGATTCCAGTACGGTTCCTATTTTGATCTAATAGAAGCGCGCACTTTGGAGTCCCGAAACTTGACTTAAAACGTATTTTCCGAAGCTTTTGTTGTGTTTTTCGGAATCTACGCATAAAATTACCCTAGAAAAAGTGGTTTTGAAGAAAAAAAAAAAGATAGTTCCTGCAAAAAATAAACGCGATCACATCAGAAAAACGCGAGATGAATAAAAATGAAATTTCGCGCAAATTGGGAGGGGTACGGTAGTTTTACCACGCTTTAAAGCGCTAAGCCAGGATTTTCTCGGGGGTGGTTTGATTTAGTCATACTTTGTGCTCTCTGGTGGCAAAACGTTTGCCAAAACGCATTGGTTTTGCTTATTTGTTTTGTAACTAACAAAATAATAGGTCTGGTTGTCAATTCGGCTCTCCGGGTTCCCGAATGCGTTCACGAACAAGAGAATGTTACGAGGAGGATTGTGAAGATTTGCAGATGCAACCGTGTCAAGAATAGAAAGAAATTGCAGATATTTGTTTCAGATATTTATGCTGTTATCTCTAGATAATTAATTTTATACAGCTTTTTCTTTGAAAATATACTGAAATTTGTGTTTTCCCTTTACATTCCATTTCCGATCTTGTACACTAGCTCAGTGATTTTTATGAAAATTTGTTTTGGAATAAAAAAACGTTTCAAATTTGCAACAGAACTGACACCTTTTTCACATTAAAAATAGCCCATTTGACCTAATTTTTTCAGAAACAGATCACTTTCACCTATTTTCCCCGAAAATCTGAGCCAATTCGATTGATAACATTAGCACAATGTTGAAATTTCTATTTTTCTTTTTCTTTTCAATATTCGCTGAAGCAAAGAGGATAAAATGTGGGTTTTTTTTGAAGGATTTCGATTTGGTTTCTATTTGCACCAATTGAACAACGGTTTATTGCATTCGAAAGGCCAATTATTTTTCTGCAAAATGACATTAAAACGAGTTTAAAATGTCTTATATCTAGATTTTTTTGAGAGCCTGAAGTCGGGTAGTCAAAAAAGGCGACGGCTCGATGATGCATTTTAGACGCTTTAGCTAAGGAAACCAATCTTGATGTTAATAAATAAAAGATAGAGCACAAAAAGTTAGATATTTTTTCAGATTTTCAGAGAAATTGATTCAGCCAATTTCTTTATAGAGGTTTTTATAGATTTTTATGAAAAACCCGTTTTCACTCTCGAATTTGCTTGAAAGTGAACCCAAATTGACTTAAAAAGATGGGAAATTGAACAATAAACACTTTTCATTTAGAGCAAACCATAGGTTAATTGATGACTTTGTTCTTTTTCAAAAGAAGTACGAAAAAAATGAAAAAGACTTTTGCATCAACCTAATATTTGGTTCTGATTGGGTTCTGATTTGGTTCCTATTGGGTCCGATTTGGTTCTGATTTAGTTCTGATTTGGTTCTGATTTGGTTCTGATTTGGTTCTGATTTGGGTTCCGATTTGGTTCCCATTGGGTCCGATTTGGTTCTGATTGGGTTCTGATTTGGTTCTGATTTGGTTCTGATTTGGTTCCCATTTGGTTCTGATTTGGGTTCCGATTTGGTTCCCATTGGGTCCGATTTGGTTCTGATTTGGTTCTGATTTGGTTCTGATTTGGTTCTGATGTGGTTCCTATTTGGTTCCCATTTGGTTTTGATTTGGTTCCTATTTGTTTCCTATTTTAAATGTGGGTTTTTTTGAAGGATTTCGATTTGGTTCCGATTTGGTTCTGATTTGATTCCCGTTTGGTTCCAATTTGGTTCTGATTTGGTCCCGATTTGGTTCCCATTGGTTCCGATTTGGTTCCCATTTGGTTCTGATTTGATTCCCATTTGCTTCCGATTTGGTTCCCATTTGGTTCTGATTTGATTCCCATTTAGTTCCAATTTAGTTCCAATTCGGTCCCGATTTGGTCCCATTTGGTTCCCATTCAATTCAATTCAATTCCCATTCGATTCCAATTGGTTTAAAGTTACTTGTCCACTTCAAATATTTAAAGCTCTTCAAATTCGACTTATTTTGTCATTTATCATCCAATCTTCTTCAGATGATGACTGTTTCAATAGTATTACGAGAAAAACGATCGACAATTCCTCACCGATTGCCACTTTTGACTTGATTTCCCTGCAGACATGTATGATGCAGTGTATTCAATCGACCACCAATTATAAAGTGAGTGGATTTCAATTCGAAAACTATCCACAGAACCAACAAGATAATCAAGATCAACAAAAAAAACAAGATCAAGCAAGCAAGAGCAAGATCTACGCCATTCTAGATTTTTTATCCATCTAAATGTTCAACAGAGCTTTGTGATTATCTTGACAAAGTACGACAAAGCCATTTTTTTGCGTGTTTCATTTCGGAACCGATTTTCTAGCGACTCCTTAATGAGTACAGGGTGACCGCGAATTCTAGCGACAACTTTTTGGAAAAGTGTCTAGCAAGTGTCTAACTTATTTTAAAGTGTCAAGTTTTATATAGGGGATTGTAGCCCTTAATCTTGGCTACATTTATCTACTAAAAAATTCCCAATCGAATTTATGCAACTCATTTTACAAGTCTTTGAATACTAGTCGATCCCTCTCCGAAATTTGATTATTTTTTGATATTTAGTTTACATGAGTATCTCGTTATAATAGCTGTGATTGTTATGAAATTGTTGGAAATCATTTTTTAAACAAAATCCACATAAAGTTTATTGAATAAAGTCTTTTTTAGATAAATTTTTATGTAGAAAATCGAAAATGGCAGTGCACCGGATGGGCGCTTGTTCAAGGGCTTGTAAAATGAGTTGTATACATCCGATTGGGAAGTTTTTAGTCTATAAATGTAGCCAAGATTAGCGGCTACAATTCTATATATAACACTTAATACTTTGAAAGAAATTACTTTGAAAGCTGCACAACTAGAAAGTCGAAAATGTAAGCACCCCGGTTAGTAGTCGACCAGTGCTCATTCCAAGACTTGTAAAATGAGTTATATGCATCTGATTGTGAAGTTTTTAGTATATAAATGTAGCCAAGATTAAGGGCTACAATTCCCTATATAAAACTTGACACTTTGAAAGAAATTAAGCGGCACAACTACTGGTCCAAAAAGCGATTTGGATAATTTTGCCTAGTCTTTTATAATTTTCTGTTAGATCAATCTAAACTCACTTTAGAATCAAAAAAACTACGTAAAAATTGTAGCTTGATTGTAAAGAACAACTTTTGTTTTAAGAATCGAGAATGTTTTTCGTTCACATATGACAGAGCTACGAGGAATTGTCGAATTTTCGATCACGATGGGAGAAAGGTGAGATGGGGAAATGATATGGAAAATTTGAGTCCATCAGAGCAAAAACTACAAGCACAGGTTCCCGCAATTCTTCTCCCAGCGATGAATTTCGATTTCTACAAGAAAATCTCTATTGAAAATCATTGTGGAGGTGAAAAAAAGTCACTTTTAGCTATTAGCATTTTTCTTCAGTTGAAAGAGTTGTCTCATCGACACAAATTGCTACTCAACCTGAAGCAACTCTTGCTCAAAAGTCAAATTTTCACAACATCGAAGAAGAGATCTTACGGTAGGTATTGGGCTAAATACAGAATCAAAAAAAGATCCACAAATGAGCTTAGAGATCTACAAATGAGCTTAGAGATCCACCATTGAGCTTAGAGATCTACCAATGAGCTTAGAGATCCACAAATGAGCTTAGAGATCCACCAATGAGCTTAGAGATCCACAAATGAGTGAGCCACAAAATCTAGAGCCACAAATAAGTCAGCCACAAAATTTAGAGCCACAAATGAGCTTTTGGAACATAAAGCTGTTGTTGCGGAAAGTCAAGCAGGTAAGCTTTACACAAAATTTTATCAATTTAACCCTTTTTCTGTATATTTTCTCGAAATTCCAGTAGTTAGCTAGTTTTTCAGAAATCTGTCAAACTTCAACGGGTTACTATGTGGTAATCGGCAATGAAATCTTGCTTCCAACAAGCGCCGATCAAAATTCGATGAAAGAATTCTCTGAGATTGAACAAGGAGACTGTGCAACATTGTGCTCAAAAGAAGAGGTACAGTACTTACCGGAATACCTGTAATAGTCGCCCCCCCCCGTACAGTCGCGTAGTCTAGCATACAATTTTGTGACGCTTGACAAAAACATTCTCACATCACGAATTTTTCTCCATCTTTGAAGAGCTATAACTCGAAGCCTTTCCATCTTAGACTAGAAGTGTTATAGTGATTCTGAAAGCTTAAAACAAGCTCTATAAAATCGTGTATTCGCTTTTTAAATTCATCATAATTTTAGACAAATTTCGGGGCGCGGAAAATAGAGTTTGAAAAAACAACATTTCCGGCGCTGTTTTTCTTGTTGATGCCGTGCTCTAATCATCTTGAAACCGTGTTTTTTGGAAAGAACATGTAAAATTACTCCTAGAAACCTTTGATTTGAGTATTTATTGCTGTCTTCAAGTTCTAAAAAGACCAACTTCGCATTACCGTTTCTAGGTCAACTCTATTCTCATTTCTTGTGTCGTTTTCTTTTCGTTATCTCTTGCTCTTTTTAAAACCCAATATTTTTTCTTTTAGGAATGATGGTGAAAACAAAAGGAAAGAAGGATTTGGATTAGAAAGTGCAACAATAATCATCAATAGATCGAATCAAGGAAGGACTCACGTCGAGTTAGCAGTTCAATTTGGTGTCTCGAAATCGGTCATTACACAATTGGTACTTTTCCGTTTCTCATCTCTTCCTCATTTTCGTTATGAGGGCTCAAATTATCATGCAGGAATGATGGTGATAAAAGAAAAGAAGGATTTGGATTAGAAAGTACAACAAAATCCAATTGTACCTATGAAATCGTCTCCAACTTCTTCTCACACCATAATAACTTGAATAATAACTATAATAACTAACTAACTCGGCCAAATAACTTGAAAGGAAGCGCCTGTCAGTCCTTCAGTGCTTTTTGTTCCTCCACAGAGCCCCAGAGACGCTCGATTTTCTGAGTGTTCACGTCTTTGTCATCTGGATTAAGTTGTAGCGATGTTGTAGCGTTGTAGCGTTGTAGTTGTAGTTGTTGTAGTTGTAGTTGTAGCGATTGTCGTGACGATCTCGTGATCGAGATTGCCACGTATGGAAATGGTCAGCTAGGCACCTATGTGGACGAACGCCTATTGTGCGAGATTTAATATGCGTCGCTATCCGTTCAACTCCATTGTGTGGAAGACGAGACGAACGCCCGAGTTCCGTATAAAAGCAATGTGAACGAGCTGCCGATGTGTGCCGTGGAGGTCCTCTACTCTCCCAATCTCAAACCACTGATTAACCATCTCGTGTTGAAATTCCATTTGTTTCAACGAATTTGAATAAAACAGAAAATACTTTGGAATCAAAATGATTTAAACATTGATTCCTATTTGTGGTGACACTATTAAATGTAAATGCATGATAATTTGAGTCCTGGAGAGATGAGAAATGGGTCCTCATAACGAAGAGATGAGAAATGGGTACTCATAACGGAAAAGTACCAATTGTAATGACCGATTTCAAGACACCAAATTGAACTGCTAACTCCAGTCCTTCCTTGATGTCTATTGATGATTATTGTTGGACTTTCTAATCTAAATCCTTCTTCTCTTTGTTATCACTACAAAAAGAGCAAGAGAAAACGAAAAGAATCAAAAAGAAAACGATAAAAGAGATGATTTTTAACAATTTTAGAGTCCCGATGGTGAAAAGCTAAAATGCAACTCGTTGAACTATTTCCCGTTAACCCAAAAATGTCAAATTCTTTCAATATTGGCTGAACCGCATGGAGAAGGGGAATTGGTGGAGAATCAAGATTCGATTTACGCCGAGAAATTCTGTTTACCAAGTAAGGCCGATTAATGGAATAGTTAACGTTTCACTTACCAAATAAGGATCAGCGAAAGCTTTTAAATCTAAGCTTTCTATCTACTTACCTTCAAACATTGACCAAAACCATTCTGTCATCATTTCTTTAAATTTTAGCACACAAAAATCATTGTCAAAGTGATGAAGTCTTCATTTTGCATGTGGAGAAACGAATCAAAGAAAAGCCATTCAAAGAAACGATCAGTCAGAGTATTACAAGTTGTTTGAAAGCCTGTTTAAATACAGATCAATGTGCGGTGAGTTTTTTTTGGGAACAATCTTATAGCTAAGCTAACAATCTTATAGCTAAAGTTGAATAAGTCTACTTATCAAATACCACTTTCAGACGTGTGTCTTCGATTCATCGCGTGGTCGTTGTCTTCTCCATTCAACTCAAATCGGCAATGATTTGAGTGTCACCGAGTACACGGCCGGCTATGTTTTGATCGAGAATGGTTGTTATAAAAAGGGAGTAAGGGTGAGTGAAATTTAGGCAAAAAGAAGTTTTCAGTTTCGTTTATTTTAGTCTATTTGCAAAGCTACTATTAAATTAAAGATTTTTAAGATTTCCGATCCAATGAACTGGTCTCCATGGTCCTCATGCCAATTCAAATTGAAGGGAAAAACGATTCGAACAAGGACAAGAGAATGTCAAAATTGTGAAGATTTTCAATATGAAGAATGCTAGAAATTTAAAACAAAGTGTTTATTGTTTATTATTGTTTATTATTGTTTATTAAAATTCAGAATTCAAAGCGAAATCACAAGAAGATTTAAGTGAAATTGTAGCCATTTATTGGGTTGGTGAAATGAAAACTGCGGGACTTTGAACTAAAATTTATTCAACATAAAACCATCAATTCATTCCAAATAATTTCCATTATTATTGACGACTTCTGCCCATTTTACAAGCAATTTGCGGATTCCTCTTTCGTAGTAGGATTTTGGTTTGTGTGTGAGACAAGTGTGAGACTCCAGAATGGAGGACTGGAGATGTCAGCTGCCAGCCCAGTTTGAGCACTTTCTTCAAAAGAAACCCACTTTGGTGTCAATAGAAAAGTTGTAGAGAATCAAAAATTAGGCTTATAGCCAAATTTCCAAAAAGATACACTTAGTAGTTTAGCTTAAAATGCAAGTTTTGTGAAAATTTGGCATTTCTTTTGTGTAAATTTGGCATTTCTTGAAGACGAGTTTTTGAATCGTTCTAAAAATTTGAATATAAACTTGATTTTTGATTCTCTACAACTTTTCCATTGACACCAAAATGGGTTTCTTTTGAAGAAAGTGCTCAAACTGTCACATATGACAATAGCCCGCAGTTTTCAATTCACCAATCTGTCGTAATATGTCGTAGCCGATTATGAATGAAATTTTTTTGGCAAATCTTTCTAGTAGAGAAACCCTTTCACGTATGAGGACAATATTAAATCATTTTGTCAAAGATTCTGCGTCAATTGGTACCAAATTTTTGAGTCTAGGTTAAAAATTGCCGGTGCCACAACGTTTCATTCAAAATCGGCGGGACCCGCGTAGCCGATTATGAATAAGTCGGTCTAGGAGCGTCCAACCATCAAGTATTTAGTATCATTCAACGCAGAATCATTGATAAATATGTTAAATTTTTTAAATTAGCAAGATTTGATAAAAAGAAAAAAAAATTAGAGCAAAAAAACTATTTGTTCCAGAGAAAACTTTGAAGCCCCGTAAATTTTTTTCTTTTTATCCAATCTTTCTAATTTAAAAAATTTAACATAATTATAAATGATTCTGCGTTGAATGATACTAAATACTTGATGGTTGGACGCGCCTGGACCAAAATCTATAATTGGCTGAAATTCATAATCGGTTACGACATATAAACTAAGAAAACTTCTTAATTCGCCAAGAATCTCAGCAAATATTCTTTGTAGGTTTTGTGGCGAAGAATTGCATATCTAAAAAAAGGTATATTCGATATTTAACTTTACAAATTGAAACTAATTACCCTAAATAGTCAAAGTCGATTGTCGAGTTTTGTGCTTGAACGAGGGCCCAAACAGCCCAGAATTGGTGGGATAACTGAAAATTTTAAATATAATATTATTATCCTTATCAAATGCGGATCAAATTTTGAAAATTTGTTGATATTTTTGATATTTTTATCTCAAAAGATAAATAAATAGATATCCCTTTTAGAATTTCCATTGAAAAATAAGTTTTGTGCTTGAATTTCCATTGAAAAATAAGCGTAACAATGGGTAAAAAAAAGTGGCTAAAATTGGTCAATTTTGTCACTTCTCTTCGTCAATAAAGTAAATGAACCAATTGAATATTTTTCTTTTAGAATTTAGGTTTTTCTTTTATTTTAGTTTTAAGGAATCAACTGACCGCCATGAATAAATCACTTTGTCTAACATTTGCCTCCAATTCCTCATTTGTTGGTTGATTTCCTTTCTTTTCTTTCAAATACTCTCTCAACCATTCTCTTCTTTCGTCAATTGATGGACAACGGGAAAAATCCACATCATCAACGCCTAAAGAGAAATGTAAATGATGTAGAATGAGAAATGTGGAAAGAAATGTAAATAAGGGTACAGACTTTTGAGAATTATCGATTAGACAGTACAGGGTTGGATAGAATTGCCCGAACAAGACTTCTTTCTTGTAACTTTACAGCCTCGACCAAGACCTAAGAAGGATATGCTCGACCAAGACGCATATGCGCCAGCTCTCAGGACTCAGAGATCCAGTGGAAGTAATCGAGAGAAAAAGACTCAGATGGGCCGGCCACGTAGCCGATTCCGATAGCTAGAAGAACAGACGACAGATGGACGATACGGATCACAGAGTGGCTACCACGAGACCAGAAGAGGCCCATCGGAAGACCAGCAACGAGGTGGAGCACAAGAATCGCAGAGACGGTCAGAGAAAGGATGGCTAGAGTGCAACCACCACCAGCATAAGCAAGTCGAAGACTTCGAACCAGGAACAACCAAGATAGGAAACACTGGATGACAATAGCAAGGGATAGAGAAATATGGAAGGTTGTGATTTGCGTAAAATAGGAACACGTAAGTGCGAAGACAGATCAAAAAAAAAATTTGATAACTACGAAATTCTTAATAATTCTCTGAAATAGATGGTAACTAAAAAGTTTATTTGAAACAGTTTATTTAAGCATATTTCAGTTAACAGTTGTGGATTCTGAAATTCTTTACGAATTTGAGTAGATAAAATAGATAAGCGAAGAAAAGCTTATTTTCGATTATCTTTTCTTGCTAACTGAAAAAAAGAAGCTAGAATAGCTAGCTAGAGTAGTTTTTGTGGAATCGCAAAGAAGAGGTTGCGACATAAGGCTTGGAACGCACTGTCTGCGACCAATCTTATCCTACTCACCTCCCCATTCACAAAAGTGATTGCCCGTGTCGAATCCGGTGTAATTGAAATCCGCATACTCGTAATCGATGAAACTCAAGCGATCTGAAATTGGAAAATGCATAAATATCAAGTCTTGAAAGCCTAAAGCTAGCTACTAGTTTAGAAAATCTAACCCACCACTTTTTTTCATCGAATAAAATATTGTAAACCAGGAGATCGTTGTGGCAAAAACCGATTTCCGGATCAATTTCCTCCACAATTTCCCTCAGCTCATTCATTTCTTTCTCAAAATCGATTCCCGTGAAATATTCCTCGAATTGCTTTTGTTTTTTCGAATCTTCAAATTTTGGAGAGATATTCAAGATGAAATTGAGGATTTTCGGGAAAACGCACGGTTTCTTTGGGTTGGAATCGATCGAAATCTTGTGCATTCGCGCCATCGCTTCGGCGATTTTTCTGTAAAAGTTATTTGGATTTGTAAAAGAAGCAATTCAGCATTGATTTCTGAAATTTCTGCATATAAGAATGAAGCCCAAACCAGTTAATGATGGAGCATTGAATCCTAAGGATCCTTTGGAAAATCCCCGGTAGAACCCTAGCAAAATCGTTCGATTATTGAAATCAAAACAAACCTTTGCATTTTCGTCTCTCTCACCAAATCGACATTCAAATTATTGCCTGGAAGATATCCACAAATGATCCCATTCGAGAAGAGGCCAATCAATGGAGCGGCTAAGCCTTTCTCCGCCAACACCGCCCACGATTTCAGCTCGTGAGCTCTGAAAAGGTTTGAGATCAGAATCTTCAGTAATCAGTAAGCTGAAATTCTGGGGGGTATTCAAAACAGCACCATAATAGAAAACGTTCAAAACAGCGCCGTCAAATTTCTCAAAATCCAAAAAACCAAGCCGGTTCAAGTTTTATATCAAAAAATTCCTTGCGTTCTTGGCTACATGATGGTTGAAACAGTTTTTTAAAAAAGTTAATATTTCATAGATAAAAAGAGCACTCAAAATGGGTCTCTAAAGATATTCAGTTAACCAACTGAGTATCACTCGACACACTTAAGTTAAGTCTTCTTGTCAACTGGCTTGGTCAACTGGCTGAGTCTTTATAAAAGCTTTAGACAATTGTGACAACAAGAAATATTTTGTGCGCAGGCAAACTAGTCAGCACTTCCTAAAAAAAGCAAAAGAAAAACCCAGAATGAGATCGAACTTGTGAGGTGCCCAGAATTAGGTCCATATGATCTTATCTCAACTCACTCACCGATCAATGATCTTCTCCGTATTTTTCCCAAATACCCGAAAAATCACTTTATCCTCTTCATCGACAAAAGCGGCGAAGATTTTGTTGGTGATTCCAGCGGTGAAAATCTGAATGAATAAAGATCAGGAAATTTTCGAAAGAAAAAAAAAGGATTTGAAATGAAAAAACCCACTTCAAACTTGACTTGTTCTCCATTCCATTTCGGTTTGATTTTCCTCAAAATATTCCTTGCTCCATTCTCGCATTCTTCTTTATCCAATAGCGATAATTCAATGTCGATTCTTTCAAGATCCATCAAAAGAAGAAAATCTGTAAAAAGCAAATGATTAGATGAAAAGTAGTCTAGAAGAAAGAAAAAGGCAAATGAAATGAAATTCAGAATTTGGAATTGATATGGAAAGCTGGATTTTTGAAGTGACAGATACACTACTGGACAATGAAATGTCATATTTGAAAAAAGATCGTCACTTTCGCGCGTCTGTAACTCCCTTGTCTTTACCGTATTTCTAAATATTAATATTACCATTGTGTAGCCCTTGAAAAGAGCTTTCAGAAAATGTATAACACTAATAGTTTAAACTCAAAGACAAAGGAGTTACAGACGCGCGAAAGTGACGATCGTTTTTCAAATATCATATTTCATTGTCCAGTACTGTAGCTGTAAATAAGCTGATAATTGACTTAAAAGCGTTTGAAGTGGTCAAATTTTTGACAAAAGATCAGTTGCATGTTTCACCGCAAAAGAACAGATGGCTTTGAAGTTCGTTTTGAATCGGATGATATTACCATGTGTAGCCAGGATCATTGCGATGTCTTAGACGACTGTTTGGTACCTTTTTGCAGCAAAATCCGAGTACTCAATAAGTCTTTCAGTAGGATAATGCGTCGATTCACGTCTCCTGTCACATCAAGTTGTTTATCATCAATCGTGCATTTGATCATGAGGCTACTTCTCTTAGGACGGCTCAAGTTTGATTCAAACGATTCCGGGAAGGAAACGAGGATCTTCATGACAAGGAGGGTTGCAGTCGCCCAAGACTCATTGATGAGGGAATCAACTCAACATCATCAACAACTAGCCAGCGCGATCACCAGACCTTCACAACATTCTCCAAGACGTCTGCAAGCACAACCGACAATATTCCGACGTTTTTGCTTTCAAAGCTGCGACTCGAACGGCCTTTCGAACAAATCAATTCTTGCAAGATTTATCAAAAGAAGAAAATCTGTAAAAAGCACACGATTAGATGAAAAATAGTCTAGAAGAAAAAGGCAAGTGAAAGTGAAATTCAGAATTGAGAATTGATATGGAAAGTTGAATTTTTCAAGTGACAGATAGCTGTAAATAAGCTGGTAATTGGCTTGAAAGTGTTTGAAATGGTCAAATTTTTGACAAAAGATCTGTTTATAATTGTAAGAAGTGTTTTGCGGTTTTAATTGTTCAAATATTTTTGTAAAAGATTTCAATCTTTATGGTGTTAAAGCAAAAAAATGCTAAATTTTTTCGTATTTTCATTTTTGTATCAAAAACCTAAGAACTTTTGAAGTAAAAAGACTTGTTTAAAACGTTAAAATCTAAAATTTGTTGTAATATTTTTAAACAATAAACAATAAATGTATTTTTAAGAAAAAAAAAAATATTGGGTTGATGCATAATTATCCGGACTTCTTTTTGCGTGCTTGTATCTTTTTTGTTTTGAAAGCTTTTTGTCTATTTCTTTTTTTTAAATATTCGTTATTCTTTAGTGAACAAAATGCGTGTCGACAATCATATCCATCTTCGCCATATCATGCTCTACCACTTCGAAAAGGGATGGTCTGCCGCAGAGTCGTTTCGCGATCTCAAAGAACTGGAGAAGCCCCAACGGACTACCACGTCAATCGATCGCTCAAAAATTGGAAAACAAATAAGATCTACAACGATTTGGATGACTTGATAGACGATGTTAAAGCGTGGATTGCCTCCAAAGATCGTTTATTCTTCGCTCGTGGAATCGATCGTCTTCCAAGCAAATGGCAATCAGTTATTGATGTAGGCGGTGAATATGCTCCAGAATAATCAATTAAACATATTTTTCTAACTATTTATGTTATTTTTTGTTAAATAAAATCATTTATAAAAGAAGTCCGGATAATTATGCATCAACCAAATAGATTTATATTTGTTTTATGCTGGAGATTTTGACTAAAGTAAACCAGGAAGTCAAATTTCTCTTTGAAATTTCTCTTTGAGCACGTGTGGCTGACTGGTTAAGTGTTTTTTATCTTAATCGGAAGGTCGAGGGTTCGAACCCCACATGCGACATGGTCACCCCCTTCGGATTTCCTTTCCCTGCGACATGGTCACCCCCTTCGGGTTGAGAGGTTTTCTGGAGGGCAGTCTGGTGGTTGTGGCCCCAGTTCTTTAAAGTGACAAGCCACTCCTTCATCGTCATCTTCCCTTCACCACCAAAAAAGCTTTGTTTGCCAATTTTTGAGCGATCGATTGACGTGGTAGTCCGTTGGGGCTTCTCCAGTTCTTTGAGATCGCGAAACGACTCTGCGGCAGACCATCCCTTTTCGAAGTGGTAGAGCATGATATGGCGAAGATGGATATGATTGTCGACACGCATTTTGTTCACTAAAGAATAACGAATATTTAAAAAAAAGAAATAGACAAAAAGCTTTCAAAACAAAAAAGATACAAGCACGCAAAAAGAAGTCCGGATAATTATGCATCAACCCAATATTTAGTTCCCCATTGAGCTTAGGGTTAGGGAGCCGTCTGTCATGACGTGAGTTAAGTTAAGATATAGCCTAGTATTGTGTGTGTGTCGTTGTATTGTGATTGATATATTTCGTGTATGCGATAAATTCACCACTGGTAGCCCCAGTGGGTATTTTTAAAATCAAAAGAAAAAAGAGAATTGTTTTGCTTAAAAAGTTAAAAAATTAGCCAAATTTCAGAATTTCATTAAGGTTTTCTGCAAAAATCAGTAAAATTCAAAAGAATTTAATGATTTGATTAAACGGAAAACAACGCAAAGCAAGGTCAACGGTTTGTAGTAACTTTTGAGACAGAAAAGCTCACACGAAATCGATTTCCCTCCATTTCTGGGGGAAAAGGGGGAAAATTGGAGCGAAAGAGAAAAGAAAAACGGTCAGATTTCACAGAGAATTTCTCTCTTTTCCCAAAAACTTTTCTCAATCTGATAACACGAAACATGTTTGTTGTCCTGAGAAAAATAGTGTTTGATAGTGTAGTTTTTGATTGAAAGCATTATTTATTCTAAAAATATGGTTATTTGGGCTATTTGTGCAAAATAGCCTGTGCAAAGCAAAGTTTGGGTTATTTTATCTTTTCAAATTTAACTCCTATAAGTTTTCGCTTTGAAAACTCTAATTCTAGCTTTAATTTTCAATGCTGAAAAATGCTGAAAGCCGAAAAATGGAAATTTTTGAAGATTGGGAATGAGAATGGTAAAATGGTTTATGAAATTTCTCTATTCTTCCGAGATTTCAATAAAGAAGGAGCAAGAAAGCGTGTAAACTTCTGGCAATCATTCAATTGATGAGGTATCTACTTTTGGAGTTGAAGATCAGGTTTTGGAAATGAATGAGATGCTTCTCCTTTGTCTAGCCACTCCGAATTTTGTTTTCGATTGTCATACAGCATTTTTCATCACACGTCATCAGCCAGTCCAGAAAGGATCTCTATTGTTCCGAGATTTCAACAAATAAGCAGCAAGAAAGCGTGTAAACTTCTAGCAATCATTCAATTGATGAGGTCTACTTCTCCAGTTTTTTTAACCTTTCCGATATCCTTCAAGTGATCATTTATGGTCAAAATCCATAAATTAAAGTGTTTTGCTAGTTCTGGCTCAGTAGTCCGCGGATTGGCTTCGACAACTTGTCTTAAATCATCATCCATGAGTCTTGGGCCACTGCAACCCTCCTTGTCATCAAGATCCTCGTCTCCTTCCCGGAATCGTTTGAACCAAACTTGAGCCATCCAGACCAAACTCCAATTCTAACTCTAATTTTCATGTCAAGCTGAAAAATGGAAATTTCTGAAGATAGGAAATGAAAATGGTAAGATGGTTGATAAAATGTCTCTATTGTTCCGAGATTTCAACAAATAAGCAGCAAGAAAGCGTGTAAACTTCTAGCAATCATTCAATTGATGAGGTCTACTTCTCCAGTTTTTTAACCTTTCCGATATCTTTCAAGTGATCATTTATGGTCAAAATCCATAAATTAAAGTGTTTTGCTAGTTCTGGCTCAGTAGTCCGCGGATTGGCTTCGACAACTTGTCTTAAATCATCATCAATGAGTCTTGGGCCACTGCAACCCTCCTTGTCATCAAGATCCTCGTCTCCTTCCCGGAATCGTTTAAACCAAACTTGTTTGAACCAAACTCGGCCCGTTCAAACCAAACTCCAATTCTAACTCTAATTCTCCTGTTAAGCTGAAAAATGGAAATTTCTGAAATTTCAGAAGATTAGAAATGAAAATGGTAATATGTTTCGTAAAATTTATAAAATTTCGGTCATATTGATTCTTATGAAAAACCTTTCTTTGAAAAGAAAAGAAAAGAAAAGAAAAGAAAAGAAAAGAAAAGAAGGCGGCTTCTGGGAATTGACTGAGAAAATCCCCTTTTTAGCTTGGATGCGCGGCTTTTCCCCTCAAAAAAATGAGATAAAAGAGAAAAAAAAGGGGAAGAAAGCTTTAGTCTTTTGTTTTTTCGCGGACTCATTTATTTCACAGAAAGTTCTCGGCTAGTTTTTGAAGAGGAGATTCAAAGCTATCGAATGACTATAATAGTTTAGTTTATCTTTGAATTTACACCAAATTATTAGTGAAATAGTTAACGACTACGCGACTGTCCGTTCAAAATATCGTGTTGAATGTGTTCAAATTTTGTTTAGGAGAGCTTATTGAAGTTGGGTGTACTTTGTGTTCAAACTCCATGCAAATCGGGTGCTTAAATAGTCTTAAACTTATTGTTGGCACCTAAGAATGCTTATTTTACTTCACAATACAGATCTATTGTTACGAGAAAGAGAAATGATTGCACTAGAAAGGATGCGTTTACATTTTTGAGAGGAAAAAGTCAGTCAGAGTGGTTTAATTGTGAATGTACCTTTTCCAGGGTTCCAAATTTCCCCTTATTAGTAACAAAATGTTGTAATCTTTCATGTAATTGTGCTTTTTTTTGTAAAAATCTTTCATATTTAGTACTAAATTCATTTATCTATAACGACTAGATGAACTAAAAAACAAAAAAAAAATAATATAAAGTATTTTCTCTAATAGTAGTGCGCCCAGTCGAGCCGAGTTAATGACTATTTTACGGTTTTGAAGCTTTTGCAGAAGCTCAACACTCTAATCCTCTACTAGATCTCATTGTCAGCTACATTCTCCAACCCCACATCGATAGGTTTTGATAAGCGGTTCTCGAGATTTCGAATAATTTAGGCAACGCTCAGGGTGCACTACTATTAGAGGTATCCACCTTTGTCTGTTTTATCATTTCACAGTAAAGATACCGTCTTCTTTCTAATAGTAGTGCACCTGGCCGAGCCGAGTTGATGATTATTTGACGGTTTTGAAGCTTTTGCAGAAGCTCAACACTCTAATCCCTCACTAGATCTCATTGTCAGCTACATTTTCCGACATCGATTGGTTCTGATAAGCGCTTCTCGAGATTTCGAGGAATTTAGGATCAGTAGTTTCAAATTGTAGAAGCTTCCAATTGTATTCAAAATTTCTGAAAGAATCTCCCCGTCGAGCCGAGTTGGTGACTATTTTACGGCTTTCAAATTTTTCACAGAAGCTCAACACTCTAATCCTCTACAAGATCTGATTGTCAGCTACATTTTCCGACCCCACATCGATATTTTCTGATAAGCGCTTCTCGAGATTTCGAGGAATTTAGGCGCTCAGGCGCTACTATTAGAGAAAATACGGTAAAAATAGCATAAAGAAAACATTTTCACAGTGATTTACCCGTAAATCGAACGATAAAAGAAAGATTTTTCAAATATAATACAGAAATTTGGGGGGGGAAATGAATGAAATGAAAAAGGAGAAGGAAAAATAAAGAAAAAACTGAAATCATTCCTCAAATTGTTGATTTTTTGGGTCGAATTGGTCATCGAATTTCTGAAAATTAGAAAATTTGCAAAATTTTGTGCCATTTCAAGATATTTACTCAATAAATCGTCGTTTTAACAAGAAAATAACTCTCCTGAAACACGAAGCATTGCGCTATATGGTATGCGTTCAGAAATTTTCGATTGCAATTTAAAATATGCATTTCTTTTGACCAAAAAATGACAAGATAAGCTGGACTACGGTATTTAGTCTAGATTGGGTATTCAGTCTAGATTAGCTGGATTATGGTAGTCAGTCTAGATTGGCAGGATTACGGTATTTAGTCTAGATTAAGTTATTCAGCCTTGAATAATGTATTCAGTCTACATTAGCTGGATTACGGTATTCAGTCTAGATTGGGTATTCAGTCTAGATTAGCTCGATTACGGTATTTAGTCTAGAATGGGTGTTCAGTCTAGATTAGCTGAATTACGGTTAATGGATTTCACAATCGGGTTTATAGTGCTTGCAAGCGATTAACAATTAAACCGTTAAACCAAACAATCTTTCTTTTTGTTTCACTTTAATTCAGTTTAATTTGGTGTAAAGCGCTGAAAAAATGCACTTTAAAGGTCATTTTTTTTGACTCACCATATCCTCGAGCTTCAGCGTCGGATCATCACAATCGGGCACCGGTTTATAGTGCTTGCAAGCGATTAGCAATGCCGTGAAACAGCACAGTTTTGTGCAAAGCGCTGAAAAATGCAAATAAAATAGAAACTTTTAAATGTTTTTTGAGATTTAGCTTAACTATGATTTAGAAAAGAGCATTATCTGTCTGTTCGAGCATTTTCTCGACCGTCTTTTCACCAATAAACCTCTAAAAAAACCTTAGAATAAAATGTGTGAGATGTCCGTCTGTCTGTCTGTCTGTCTGTACGCGCGATTTACATGATTTCTAGTTTATTAGGCTTAGAATTCTATATAGTTATGCATCTCATATTTTGTTTTTTTAAAAAGCAAAAAGAGGGCATAAGTGGGCGTCGAACCCCGGACCGTACGGGTTGTAGACGAGTGTGCTACCGACTGCGCCATGGCGACAACTTGACCGGGGTGAAAAAGCCGGGTTTTTGTCTACAAACGCTTCAATAATTTCCTATTTCAAACGGTAATTTTTTGTCAATTTTGGTAAAGAAAGTGACTTACAATTGACTTTTAAAAACTCACTTAAATAAAAAATATAGTGACTCAAATCTCGTGCATTATAAAGAACACATTTCTTCGATCCATCACATCCCTCAATCCATTGAGTGCAAGAAGTGTCGATGAGAGCGCCGAAAGCGATTGCTCCCGGGATTGAGCCTGGTATTCGCTTTGTTTTTCGGTTAATACTGGTTTATCTTTCTGATTTTTCTTTTCTGGCACAGTGATTTTACAAAGATGATGTCAATTTTCGGGACTATGACAATCCCGTACCGCCATTTGCGCACACGAACAAAAGCGTCTTTTGCGGATTTTATTTATTTACGGTGCGTTTTGATTCATTAATTTATTCAACAACGTGATTTCAATTTATCAATAAAAATAAACTGAAACCGTAAATAACTCTAGGTGAAATAAGTTTTAAAAACTGTCCCGAAACAGTGACGAAACTATAAAAACATGCAAAAGTAGTGCCGATTCAATTATTATGCGCGCAAAAGACGTTTTGAAGGCGTGTGCGCAAAAAATATTTGAGAGTTTAGAGAGAGATAAGGAACTAAATTTAGAGAGATAAGGAACCAAATGACGTTGCGCAAATGGCTTGTGCGCAAATGGCTTGTGCGCAAATGGCTTGTGCGCAAATGGCTTGTGCGCAAATGGCTTGTGCGCAAATGGCTTGTGCGCAAATGGCCTGTGCGCAAATGGCTTGTGCGCAAATGGCTTGTGCGCAAATGGCTTGTGCGCAAATGGCTTGTGCGCAAATGGCTTGTGCGCAAATGACGTTTTTGTTCGTGTGCGCAAATGACGTTGCGCAAAAATAGGTGCGCAAAGGACGCTTTTGTTCGTGTGCGCAAATGGCGGTGCGGTTTTGTCATAGTCCCCAATTTTCAACTTTTTACAATCATTTTTCCCTCACCAAGTACTCTCATCCACATCCAACCAAAGCAAATGAAAGCATCACGATGTTTGAAAGAAACGACTCTGAAATCTCGACTTTAATCTTAGAAAGACTTATAATAATATAATAATTATCATACTTTTTTTTTAAATCCTCACCTCAATGCAGCACTTTGAACAAGTGGAGCACAAGCAAACGTAAAACAAGCCATTAGAGCGAAGAGGCCGAAGAAAACGTACTAAATTGAGGGAAAAAAATTGGAAAATTAGTGAAATAGTTCAGTTTCTTTAAGTTTATATTGAATTTGGAGCAATTTGAGAAGCTTTTTCTGAAGAACTTTTTGATATATTTACTTGATATTCTTATTTTCAATCTCACCTGCAACAATCCACAATCTTTCCCACACCATCCCTTTTCAACACGATTCCCAATCCCCCTTTCAGCCGCACATCCACAACTGTCCCATTTGTTTCCAAGAATTGCCTGGAATTGAATGAAAACTTGGCGAATTTATTCATTAACTTACATCAGATGCAGCTTGACAACCGGCATGACACGGAGAAAGATAAGAGACATTGTTCATCTTATTGCAAACTGGATTGAAGATATTCTTACAGTTACACATTGAGTTACAAGTGGCATCGATTCCAAAGGGGTTCTCACTGAAAACGGGGTGGTAAAACAAGATAGATTTTGTAGCAAGAGCATAGACGATTCGACGCTAGTCCTTGAGCTCTAGCTGCTGCTGGGTTTGCCTGGGCTAGCTGTTGGCTGGGTTTGCCTGGGCTAGCTGTTGGCTGGGTTTGCCTGGGCTAGCTTCTGGCTGGATTTGCCTGGGCTAGCTGCTGGCTGGATTTGCCTGGGCTAGCTGTTGGCTGGGTTTGCCTGGGCTAGCTGCTGGCTGGATTTGCCTGGGCTAGCTGTTGGCTGGGTTTGCCTGGGCTAGCTGTTGGCTGGGTTTGCCTGGGCTAGCTGTTGGCTGGGTTTGCCTGGGCTAGCTGCTGGCTAGGTTTGCCTGGGCTAGCTGCTGGCTAGGTTTGCCAATGTCTGGCTTACAGTCCTAGAGTCCGATTGGTACAAAAAGCAACTCTTTTGATCCTTGCAAAATAACTTTTGTTTTTCAGTTTTACTCCAAAGCATTCAGTCTTCGAGAAAAATGCTTTTAAAGTCTCGCTAAAACGCCGCCTCAGCGATATGAGGCACTTTTTCTTTGGACTGAAGAGTGACCAGATGGTGGAGTGGCAGTGCTCTCGATCCTCATTCTGCCTATCCCTGGTTCGAATCCCCTCACTGTCAGAGACTCTTTGCTTTCCTTTTAAAGCACTAAAACCAATTTTTAGGTGTTTTCAAGTGTATAAAGAGTAAGAATATAAACATTATACAAACCTATGAATAGGGTCGTTAAATGATTAAAACCTGAAAGCATGTATCGATTAGAATTTCAAGGTGCCTTTTCTACGCTAGGTACTCCCGAATCGATGTTAATTTGAAGCAATTTGCTAGTGAACTGGGTCAACTATTGAGCCTTTTCTATTTTGTCAACTATTTTGGTCAACTATTTTGGACTAGACTGGATCCAGAGATATCCCAAGCTTTCTGGTACAAGTAGGTAAAAGGAAAAGTTAGATCCTGGTCTAGCTTTGATTTTTTTAATGTTTCTGGTCTTGGTTGAAGGCAGTTGAAGACATCTCTGGCTAAAAGCCTAGCAGTGGCTTGTCTGGACTAGTCTGGCTTGTTTGGACTAGTCTGGCTTGTCTAATCGTAGTCCATCAAGCAACTAGCTTGACTTGGATCTTTCAACTCACTCTTTATACGAAACATTGATCCCAGCTACTTCTCGCTCCGGACAATTCAGCAATAAACAACACGCGCAAATCGCATTCATCACCACGCAAGCCATCGTCATTTTGAAGAGTTTTCTGAAAGGACTCGACGAGTAAAGCTGATAAAAACAAGCTGGTAAAGAAGATTTGCTTTTAAAAAATGCAATAGTTATAATCGGAAAACTCACGGGACTTTATTTCCAACCATTTCCCCAGCTTTTCCACCAATATAACTTCCGATAATGCCCATTGGAATGACGAGGATTCCTTTAAAGGAATTTGATTTGTTTTTGAGAAAACTAAATCCCATACCTGTCACCGTACTCGACCAACTTGATGTCAATCCAAAGAGATTCTCAAAAACTTTCGGAATGAAAGTAATGTATCCATTCATAATCATCGATTCGAATGTTTGCATTGCGATCAACGCCATGCATGTCGGGTTCATCAGAAAGAGCTCAAATTTGACGATAAATTGTTTATTAATATGTACTTTGTATCTCAAATCTTTAAATAATCTTTTCTAGTCTAAAATTAGCACAATAATTTAACAAATTTGTTTATTTATTGATCAAATGATCTCTTTTATGCTATTGGGTTGGTGAATTGAAAACTGTGAGACTTTGAACTAAAATCTCTCTAAATTTGGCTCCTTATCTCTCTAAATTTGGTTCCTTTTCTTCTAAATTTGTCCACTTCTCTACAACTTTGGTGAATTTTAAACTGCGGGACTTTGAACTAAAATTTATTCAACATAAAACCATCAATTCATTCCAAATAAGTTCTATTATTATTAACGACTTCTGTCCATTTTACAGGCAATTTGCGGATTCGGTACTTTTCCAATATCGGGAGAGGGGAAGGATTATCGGAGGAGCAGATTTTGGATCGACCCATCAGCTGATTTGGATCGATCCGATTGATGGATACACTGTTGACATCATGGGTAGAAAATATGTTATTCTTTCTACCGATCACTCCAAGGCTCGGTACTTTTCCAATATCGGGGTAGCGGAAGGATTATCGGGAGAGGGGAATGATTATCGGAGGAGCAGATTTTGCCCCCTCGAAAAATGCATTTCCGGCATTAACTGCAACGTTTCTTTTTTTAAACTTTAACGACGATGCGCTTCTCCGACATTTGTGCGTTCAAGGAATCGACGGCAATCGATTATTTCGCCACCAAAGGAGTCATCCAGTCATGGATTTGCAACTGTGGCGAATCGAGGAAAGTCCGCTCAAAGGGAAAAGATCTATTTCGCTGGGTATGTGAGACTTGCGCACGGCGAAAAGTCTCCAAGCATTCAAGAGGAATTCAAGTCGATAACTTTTTGCAACAAAGCAAGCTCCCGTTCGTCACAATTTTAAAGCTCATTCATCTATGAAGCCAGGGACTCACGACAATCACGACAATAACGGGTAATTCGCGAATTTTATGGCGGTAGTTTGTATAATACAGGACATATGTAGCGCTGCCAAAATTTGCTCCCCATTTATTGGGTTGGTGAATTGAAAACTCCCGGACTTTGAACTAAAATTTATTCAACATAAAACCATGAATTCATTCCAAATAATTTCTATTATTATTGACGACTTCTGCCCATTTTAAAGGCAATTCGCGGATTCCTCTTTCGTAGTAGGATTTTGATTTGTGTGTGAGACAAGTGTGAGACTCAAAAATGGAGGACTGGAGATGTCAGCTGTCAGCCCAGTTTGAGCACTTTCTTCAAAAGAAACCCATTCTGGTCTTAATAGAAAAGTTGTAGAGAATCAAAAATCAAGCTTATAGCCAAATTTCCAAAAGGATACACTTAGTAGTTTCGCTTAAAATGCAAGTTTTGTGAAAAATTGGCATTTCTTTTGTGTAAATTTGGCATTTCTTGAAAACCAGTTTTTGAATCGTTCTAAAAATTTGGATATAAGCTTTATTTTTGATTCTCTACAACTTTTCCATTGACACCAAAATGGGTTTCTTTTGAAGAAAGTGCTCAAACTGTCACAGATGACAAAAGCCGGCAGTTTTCAATTCACCAACCCAACGACTGGATAGCAAGACGAACCTTAATGCAATCAAATATCGCTTGGCTTTAACTCACTCTTGATCTCTACAGATATCTTTGATTTTCTATTGATTTTAAAACTTCACCAACCGAATATTTACTAGGTAATTAAACCGGATTCGAAAAAATAAGAGATTCTGCAAATTTTGAATCGTTTAAAGATCAATTTCCATTTAAAATCAAGTCAAGCTCTTAAGAATTATAGAAACGAAGTCTTCCGTCTTACTTTAAATGTCTTCAGTTGTTCCCATTTCTCTCCAGAAAAATCGACATTCAACGAGGCGTGCGTTTGAATTGTATCCTTTTTCTTTCGCTCATCCGTATCTGAAATGCTGAAATGATCAAAAAAACCCTCCAAACCCTCCAAACCATTCAACTTTTTCGGAAACATTAATAGTGGAAGTGCGGTGAAAAACGAGAGCAACCCAGCGGCAGCGAATCCAATCCACCACGCGCCATACCATCGCGGATCTTCCGGTCCACTAATGCCAAGGCTGAAAATACAATAAACATTTAAAAGATTGATATAAAAACTACGTATTGATACTAATGACAAAAAGAAAAAGCGATAAGCTGAACTAATAAAGTGAGCCTACTCGGATGGATTCGTTTTCCCAATATCTCCCCAAATCTTCAACAATTGTCCACCGCCGATAAACGCCAGCGCCGGCCCAACAGTGCTCACTCCCATAAAAATTGCTGAAATTTTAGATTTTGACAGTAAAACAAATTAAATTCTCATCAAAAAAAGTTATTTTTGGACTGAAAGAGCTTCAAATTATAGTACCAGATCTTATTTAACAATTGGTAAGAATTGTAAGAATGGTTAGAAGTCAGTCAGTCAGTGTCCCAGTCAGATCAGGCTTGGTTTCGTTCACAAAAGTGCCCAAGATCTAGCCTGAATTGACACCAGACTGGTGTACCGAAAGATTTTGGGATTGGTAATGGGAAAAGATACGCGCCCCGCCCCTTTTCCCATTAGCAATCTAACTTTAAGCTCAAATTTCTTGGTGTTGGGCTGTTTAATTTAAATATTCTTTGTATCATTAGATACGCCAAGGCTTTCTCTATCGATTGGTAGAATAACTATTTAAATTGAACAGCTAAACACCAAGAAATTTGAGCTCAAAGTTGGATTGTCAATGGGAAAAGGGGCGGGGCCACTGAGCCATCTTATATACGCCCTGCCAGTTTGCCATTGGTAATCTAACCTTAAGCTCAAATTTCTTGGTGTTTAGCTGTTCAATTTAAATAGTTATTCTACCAATCGATAGAGAAAGACTTGGCGCATCTAATGATTGAGGCGGGGCGTATATAAGATGTGCCAGTGGCCCCGCCCCTTCTCCCATTGACACTCCAACTTTAAGCTCAAATTTCTCGGTGTTGGGCTGTTCAATTTAAATAGTTTTTCTACCAATCGATAGAGAAAGACTTGGCGCATCTAATGATTGAGGCGGGGCGTATATAAGATGTGCCAGTGGCCCTGCCCCTTCTCCCATTGACACTCCAACTTTAAGCTCAAATTTCTCGGTGTTGGGCTGTTCAATTTAAATAGTTTTTCTACCAATCGATAGAGAAAGACTTGGCGCATCTAATGATACCAAGAACATCAAAATCAGACAGCTCAACATCAAGAAATTTGCGCTTAAAGTTAGATTGTCGATAGGAAAAGGGGCAGAGCGGGAAAGACAAGGGGGGAAGAAGAAAGAAAGAACCAAAATTCTGTCTTCAGAGCTTCAGAAAAAAAGTCTTAAGCTAAAAATATGATAAAAGAATCAAGAATGACTCAATTTCGACCAAATCCTCACCCATATTCGTTCCCGTTCTCGTGTGTGCATCAAATTCATCAATCGTCGAATACCCATATGTGAAAAGTGGGGCAGCACCAATTCCGATAAAAATTTGCGACAAAATCAGCAATGGAAATGATCTGAAATCTTAAAATTACAATAATATTAACAATTTTAAACAAAAAAACTGTAATAAACAAAAATTAAAGCAATTTTATTTGCTAAACATACAATGATCGGTAAGGATCTCTAAAAATTTGTGTTTTTTAGAAGAAATTGAGTCTAAACTTGTTGAAAATGAGTTTTTAACAGTTTTAAATAGATGTAAAGATAGTTTTCTTGAAAGAAAAGCTTACAAACTGTTCGTGGCTTGGCTCTCATCACAAAGCGTCGTTCGATTCGTGTCACAGTGATCAAATCTGAATGGGCAAGTTGATTTTTAGACTTAAACTTTGATCGATTAGCTCAGTAGAGCTACACTAGCTGGCTACGTAGCTGGGAAGCGTTTTAGAACGACTTACGTATGCTTTAAAGCTATTTAAAATGCTTTAAAGCTATTTAAGATGCTTTAAAGCTTGCATCATCCCTAACTCATTTATTCTAACTCATGTAATTGAAGGTTTCTTTCAAATTCAATTCAATTCTTTCCCTTTCACTCACTTCAATTGTCCCACTTGATATTGTCCCTCCAAGAATTGTGGAATGCAAAGCATCAACGCGCCCACACCCACCAGCATCATCCCTTGACCAATTGAACGAACTTTGTTTACTAAAAAACGTCATCAAAGTTAAAGTATTACTGTATTTTTAAAGATTTATAGTAAAAAACTGACAGGAAGGTTAACTGGGTGTGTCAAATGACACGAGTTATCGACCATTCAACGCAGAATCTAACGCTGAATCCGATTCTGCTTTTCTTTTTTTGATACGGCGCACTCTGTCAAAAGTTATACACGTTTTTTGTGCCCAAATTGCGCACGATTCAGAATCATTTTGCAAAAACGAATCAGATATTCGGATTTCGAAATAAATCAGCGTGAAATCGCTCGTGTCATTTGGCCGTCACCCAGTTGACCTTTCCTTGTTAGTTTGGTACTTTCCCTATAATAGGGGAGGGGGATTTTCCTCTGCACCTTATTCAGACTCAGTAAATTTGTTTTTCTGTATGTTCCCTGCGCCTCACGTGGTTTCCTTTTAAAAAAACACGGTGTGACGCAGGTCATATAACACTTCCCAGTCGCGCATCACGGGCTAGCACGGGCAAGGGGGAAAAATTCCCCCGCGCCCCCGATAAATCCCCCGCGCCCCCGATAAATCCCCCGCGCCCCTGATAAATCCCCCGCGCATCCGATAAATCCCCCGCGCACCCGATAATTCCCCCACGCACCCGATAAATCCCCCGCGCACCCGATAATTCCCCCGCGCACCCGATCAATCCCCGCGGGAAAGTACCGTCAATTTTATTAGAAAACTCGATCTTTCTATTAGAATAATTATTGTAGATTTGATTTTCGTTTTCTCACCCCGTGTTGCCATCCATGAAAGCGGAAAAAGCACGAATGCCACCGCCACATCGTAAGTGGCCGAGAATATACCAGATTTTGTTGAAGTAAGAGAAAATCTAAAGAAAAAAGTGTTCATTAATGACAAATTAGTAATCGTATAGATACTTTGTTGATTCAAAAACGCTCAAATTTAAGCCAAAAAAACAGAAGCTCTCCGTTTGAAAGTGTTGTTTTCTTATATAATATTATTCGGTGATTCGGTTTATTCGGTCATTCGGTTTATTCGGTTCATTTGGTCATTCGGTTTATTCGGTTCATTCGGTTTATTCGGTTTATTTGGTCATTCGGTCATTCGGTTTATTCTGTTTATTCGGTTTATTCGGTTTATTCATTCATTCGGTTTATTCGGTTTATTCGGTCATTCGGTTTATTCGGTTTATTTGGTCATTCGGTCATTCGGTTTATTCTGTTTATTCGGTTTATTCGGTTTATTCGGTTTATTCGGTTTATTCATTCATTCGGTTTATTCGGTTTATTCGGTCATTCGGTTTATTCGGTTTATTTGGTCATTCGGTCATTCGGTTTATTCTGTTTATTCGGTTTATTCGGTTTATTCGGTTTATTCGGTTTATTCATTCATTCGGTTTATTCGGTTTATTCGGTCATTCGGTTTATTCGGTTTATTCGGTGATTCGGTGATTCGGTTTATTCGGTCATTCGGTTTATTCGGTTTATTCGGTGATTCGGTGATTCGGTTTATTCGGTCATTCGGTTTATTCGGTTTATTTGGTCATTCGGTCATTCGGTTTATTCTGTTTATTCGGTTTATTCGGTTTATTCGGTTTATTCATTCATTCGGTTTATTCGGTTTATTCGGTCATTCGGTTTATTCGGTTTATTCGGTTTATTCGGTTTATTCGGTCATTCGGTTTATTCGGTTTATTCGGTCATTCGGTTTATTCGGTCATTCGGTCATTCGGTTTATTCGGTCATTCGGTTTATTCGGTTTATTCGGTGATTCGGTTTATTCGGTCATTCGGTTTATTCGGTTTATTCGGTTTATTCGGTTTATTCGGTTTATTCGGTTTATTCAGTCATTCGGTTTATTCGGTTTATTCGGTCATTCGGTCATTCGGTTTATTCGGTTTATTTGGTCATTCGGTTTATTCGGTTTATTCGGTTTATTCGGTTTATTCGGCCATTCGGTTTATTCGGTTTATTCAGTTTATTCGGGTCATTTGCCTGACAAACCTTCTTTCAATCGATGAAATGGATGTCGAGATGAAGCCATTGACCATCATTCCTTGCAAAATCGCATTCCCACACAAGATCAACATATAAACAGGAAAAATGGCTAATTTTCGAAGCCATGGCGGAGAAAAGCTGAAAATAAAAGAAATAAAAATATTTTAGAAGATTAAAACAAGAAAATTCCTCCTTTTTTAAAAAGATACCTTTCCGTTTCAGAAAATCCTTTTACAATTTGGTATTTTCTATTAGAAAATGTTGACATTTAATAGAAAAATGAAAAATAATAAATTATAGTTTAGAATATTAAAGTTTAAGAACGAATTTAATACATAAATATTGTTGTTGAAGTGTTTTTTGAATTCAATTCCAAAGCAGCTAACAGCTAACAGCTAAATAAGTAAAAAAAGAAATGAAAGAAAAGGGGGAAATGTCGTCGATTTTGTTAGAGAAAAGATGAAAAAGATGAAGAAGAAATGGAAATATTAGAGTTTTTTGAGAGAATTTGAGAGAAAAATGGAATGAGCATTGGCTTAAAGTGAAAGAAGGAGAAGGCTAAAAAGGCTGCCTTCTTTTTGGCCCAAAAATTCCTCATTCCTCGCAAAGAGGTCCAGAAATTTTAGAAAAAACCTTTAAAAAAAGGAAAATCCACGTCAGGTCTCTAATTTTACTTCTCTTTTTGCTTTTTTCGATTCGATTTCGACAAATTGAGACCAGTTTTAGTCGTTCATTTGTCTTTTTGACCTTTGAACGACAATAGACAAACCGGAATTTGATTCTTTCGAGTTTTTGATTGTAAAAGATGAGAAAAATAATGTGATTTGATAAAAAGAGATAAGATTACGGTAGTTTTACAAAGTTTTCGCTTTAAGCCTAGATTTAGAAAGCCTAGATTACTATAGATACCGTCTCTAATAGTAGCGTACCCCGGTGAGCCGAGTTGATGACCATTCTACGGTTTCCAAGTTCTTCACAGAAGCTCAACACTCTAACCCCCCACTAGATCTCATCGTTAGCTACATTTTCCGACCCCACATCAATATTTTCTGATAAGCGGTTCTCGAGATTTCGAGGAATTTAGGATCAGTAGTTTCCAATTGTATTCAACGTTGCTGGAAGAATCTCCCCGGGGAGCCGAGTTGATGACTATTCTACGGTTTCCAAGTTCTTCACAGAAGCTCAACACTCTAATCCTCTACAAGATCTCATTGTTAGCTACATTTTCCGACCCCACATCGATAGGTTCTGATAAGCGCTTCTCGCGATTTCCAAGAATTTAGGCGACGCTCAGGGTGCACTACTATTAGAGAAAATACGATATTCTGGCGCACTAGATTCAAGTCAAAAGGATCTCTGGCAAAAAGCAAAAGCCTTGCTTGATTGAGCTTGAAGAATTTTGAATCCATTTCCCGTATTTTCTCTAATAGTAGTGCACCCCGGTGAGCCGAGTTGATGACGATTCTACGGTTTCCAAGTTCTTCACAGAAGCTCAACACTCTAATCCTCTACAAGATCTCATTGTTAGCTACATTTTCCGACCTCACATCAATAGGTTCTGATAAGCGCTTCTCGAGATTTCGAGCGATTTAGGTGGAGCGATTTCGAGCAATTTAAGATGCACTACTATTAGGGAGAATACCGTACTTACGACCGTACTTACGACCGTACTTACGATCACACGCCCGGAAAGGTAACAAAGTAGAATTTAATTGCTTTATATCTGTTTTATTCTTTTTTGAGTAACCTGAGTTTTTGAGTAAGTAAAGAACCGCAAATCTTTTGTTCAAATCTAAAATTCTCTCTAATCGTAGTGCACCTCGCCGAGTTGATGACTATTCTACGGTTTCCAAGTTCTTCACAGAAGCTCAACACTCTAACCCCCCACTAGATCTCATCGTTAGCTACATTTTCCGACCTCACATCAATAGGTTCTGATAAGCGCTTCTCGAGATTTCGAGGAATTTAGGATCAGTAGTTTCCAATTGTATTCAACATTTCTGGAAGAATCTCCCCGGGGAGCCGAGTTGATGACTATTCTACGGTTTCCAAGTTCTTCACAGAAGCTCAACACTCTAATCCTCTACTAGATCTCATTGTCAGCTACATTTTCCGACCCCAAATCGATAGGTTCTGATAAGCGCTTCTTGAGATTTCGAGCAATTTAGGCAACGCTTAAGGTGCGCTACTAGATTAGAAATGTGCACTACTATTAGAGAAATAACGATAACTAGTATTGCTTAAAAAGCTTCTTTCTTTTAATTCTCTTAAAGAATATCCCTTTCTTTCTAATTTTATCACTTTTTATTTCATTCTTTTTCTAAAAATCTAAAAATTAAATGATAATTTTGAAGAATATTAAAAAAATAAGTAAATAAATTGAATAAAAAGACAAAATCGAATAGAAAAGAAGTAGAATAGAAAGAAAATCTTCTCAAATATCGTAAATATAAAAAAGTTTTATTTAAAAACATAATTTAAACTCTTCCACTCACCCAAAACATCCGCATGTATCCAATTTTTGTCTTTTCACCTCTCCATTACTGTCGACGATTTTACGACTCATCTGAAAAGAGTTAAAAGTAAAATTAACAAGGGAAAGTAGCACATTTCTATGAAAAATCTTTTAAAAACACTTGTATTTGAAATAGAGATCAATTACCTCTAAAAAAACAAAAGAAAACTAAGATCTGAACTCGAATCCGAAGAGGTTTTGCTTCGTATTCTATCCGACTACCACTCGGCTACTACTGCTTCTGAAAGATCCTCGGAAATCTCGAGAAATGATTTGAAATCTCATACAAAACTTTGCAGACTTATAACTTTTGATAGAGAGCTTGATTGCAGAAATGGACAATGTTCGATTCCCATGCTAACCCATTACCACCACCTGAACTCAGCTACCTGATCTCAGCCACCTGAACTAAGCCACCTGAACTCACCCACCTGATCTCAGCCACCTGAACTCAGCCACCAGAAATCAGCCATCTGATCTCAGCCACCTGATCTCAGCCACCCGAACTCAGCCACCTGAACTCAGCCAAACTTTGAAATGCCTTTTGTTTCAACGCTTTCAAAGTGGCAACGAAAGTTTCCAGGATGAGCCGCATGAGAGGCACCCTGCAGGAGTGATTGATGTGGATTTGCTGGCAGAAATTGAAGAGGATCCAACACTCACTACACGAGAATTGGCAGAAATGTTCGATGTTTCTCATACAACAATCGAAAATCATTTGCATCGTGTTGGGAAAAAAAATCGATGTGGAAAGCGGGTTCCCGATGAATTGACTCAAGACAACAAAACAACCCGTGTCAATATCAGCTCATTTTTGCTTCACAAGTGCAAAGCTGGAAGCTGCAATGCTGGAGGCTGCAATGCTGGAGGCTGCAAAGCTGCAAAAATCAATGTCGAAAATGGTTTCAACGCTTTCAAAGTGGCAACGAAAGTCTCCAGGATGAGCCGCATGAGAGGCATCCTGCAGGAGTCACTGATGTGAATTTGCTGGCAGAAAAAACTGGCAAAAAAACTTTAGACCCTTATCACTCCTGCCAGAATGACGTTTAGCAAAAACTGAAACCATATTTGGAATCAGCGTCAAATTCTGCGCCGAATAGTATATGGCAATCAGCGTCAAATTCTGCAACGAATAGTATATGGGATTTCGAATAGTATATGGCAATCAGCGTCAAATTCTGCGTCGAATAGTATATAGCATTTGGCTACCATTCCCACTTGATCTTCCCTTATAAGAAAAACTAAAAGAAATCAAAAACAATCAAAAAAAACTGAATTTTTAGAGGTTAGGTAAAAAGAAAAATTCGGCTTGACCATAAAAATGGGATAACGAATCGTTGTGGGGTCGGTTTTTACAATATTTTACAATATTTGAGGTCGCTCTTTGGGATTCGACGGTTTTTACAACATATAATCTATATTTTTTATTCTAAAATCTAAAAATTTTGATGGTTATTTGAAAGAGAAAATGCTTTAGTCAAGATCGTGATTTTTTTGAAAAGTGGAACATGGAAAATTGAGAATTTGAAAGAAAATGGTTGACGAAAACATTTCAAGGACACGAAAGAGAGGGAACAAAAATTGAAAACAGAAAGAAAAGGGGAATTTTTGGCAATTTTTAGCAATTTTTGGCAAGAAAAAGGGTGAATTTAAAAGATCAGAGTAAGTTTTTGAGAAAGCTTTCAAGGTTTCAATTTCTAGGGAACATTTGAGCAATTGGCCATTGCTCTGTCTTTGTCTTTGAAGCTCTTGTCTTTGGCTCTTGTCTTTAAAGCTCTTGTCTTTGAAGCTCTTGTCTTTAAAGCTCTTGTCTTTGAAGCTAAAAAACAAAGGGAAATTTGAAAAGATCAAGATGAAATCCAGGCAGAATCTAGTTTTATGAAAAAACTTATAAATTTTGTGAAAGTTGAATCGAATACTAAAGGATTTTTATCAATAACATTCAATAATTGGTCTTTGATAGTTAAAAGTCGCTAAAATCCCGTTCATTCAGCCCCACCGGGAAGCCAATTTAGCCAATTGAGCTAAAACAAATGAATTCTAGGATTTCAATCTATTAGGTAAATGCATAAGAAATGCGGTTTCGGTTAACCGAACCGAAACCGAAAGACTCATGTTTTCGGTTGAGCCGAACCGAAAGATTTCGGTTGACTTTGGTTGAACCGAAACCGAACCGAAAAAGCCGAAGCACAAGTCTCCCCTATGCCCATTCCCCAGGATTCCATTAACCGAAACCGAACCGAAAAAGCCGAAGCACAAGTCTCCCCTATGCCCATTCCCCCAGGATTCCATTAACCGAAACCAAAACCGAAACCGAAGCATTTAAAGCACTTCCAAGCATTTAAATGCTTAAAAAAATAAGACTAAGCTACAGTAAACTACAGTAAACTGTAAGTAAACCTAAATTCATATGTTTTAATCTTTATTCGGATAACCAGGGATTGGTAGACTTGTCTAAGCCTAAGCTAAGCCTAAGCCATATAAAGCCAGATAGCCTTCTCCTCCTACATCGTCTCCTACATCATCCTCACAAACGATTCAATATTCTCTAGATCTTTCTGTGTAAATAGTGATTATTTGATTAAAATAAATCACCGATAACCTCGGTATAAATTTTAAACAAAAAGATTTTTAAAAAATCAATTGAAATAGAAAATAACTCAGCTTATTTAGAAGAAAATAGAAATAAAATTTATATAAAAGTTTGAATCCTCAAAAATGCTCGATAAAATGCTCGAAAAAATCAATGCTCGATAAGTGTTTTTCAATTTTAAATGCAAATCCGGAGATTTGTGGAAGGAAAGGAGCGAGGAAAGGTGAGTTCCGGTCGGTTGAATTGCATTCAATTGCATTCTCGTCAATCGAGAATCGAGAGTGCGAGAGGAAAGTTGGAATTGAATATGAAAAAAAGAGAAATGCTCAGTGAGTGAATGAAAAGTGGGCGATGGAAGAGCCACTTTTTGAGAAGAGACTCACCCCTAGCCACAGTCTCACTCCTTGTCTCTAATGTCTGTCTAATGTCGGATCCCTTTCACCCTCTCCATCGATTCCGGTATTTTTCCCGATCTCTTTTCACCACTTGTTCATCGTTTTTCACTTCAAAAACAAAATGCGTCTTGACTAGTGCTTTTTCATACTTAGAAAGTTAATTTGTTGATTCGATTTAGCGAACCTGACCGATTTTGTTGAGAATTTGACTTGATTTATCAAGAACTTGACTTGCTTTGGTTGATAGAGGTGTTGATAGAGTTGTGGATAGAGTTGTTGGCAGAGGTGTTGATAGAGTTGTTGATAGAACTCTGTCAACAACTCTGCCAACAACTCTATCAACAAGAAGCACACTCTAATCCCAATCAAGCCCAATTCCCTGGCTTCCGACAGTTTAGATTTATAATCCAAACTACAAAATCGATTTTTTTCAGTTTGAATTTATAATCCAGACTAAAAAAACTGTCAGGTAAAGAGAGGGATGTTAAAATTTCAGAAACAAATAACACTAATAAAGTCTAGAAAAGAAATTGTTTGTTTGGCATTACTTTAGATTCTACGTATTACAAGGAGCACACTCTAATCCCAATCAGGCTCAGTTCCCTGTAAGAGTAAGAGTAAGAGAGTAAGTAAGTAAGTAAGTAAGAGTAAGAGTAAGAGAGTAAGAGAAGAGTAAGAGAGTAAGTAAGTAAGTAAGGGTAAGAGTAAGAGAGTAAGAGAAGAGTAAGAGAGTCAGTAAGTAAGTAGGAGTAAGAGTAAGAGAGTAAGTAAGTAAGTAAGGGTAAGAGTAAGAGAGTAAGAGAAGAGTAAGAGAGTCAGTAAGTAAGTAAGTAAGAGAAGAGTAAGAGAGTAAGTAAGAGTAAGAATAAGACAGTTCTGTTTTAGAAAATGGTTTAAAAAGATGAATTTTTATGTAATAATCGAATTTTCTAGTAAGATTTGAGGAAGAAAATGGGAAAGAGAAGATTTTGGAAGGAGAATGACCCAGTTTTCTCTCAGATCTTTGCTTTGAAATGGAAGAAAGGATAAAAGGATAAAAGGAGAAAAGAAGAGAGCTAAAAATGAAAAAGAAAATGGGGAAACTTGTTGAATAATAGCTACAGATATCGAAAGGGAAATCGGGGAAAGTTTTTATTGAGAAGGATAAGGCGGAAAGTTGTTAAGGTTTTAGAAAACACAATTTTGATTGTAACGAAATTGTACTCATTGTCATTTATCGTTTAATAGAGTCTATGCGTTTTCTAAAATGCGTCTAAAATTACTGTAACCCGAAGAAGTTGATGTTTTTCTTTGAATCAAAGCACTTTCTGATTTATTTTAATCATTTTGATAGATTTTAAAGGTTCTGAAAAGGAAAACAAAAGGATATCGGGTAACTTTTTATAGAAAAAGATAGGATTTCAAAGTTCTAGAAAGATTCTAGAAGAAAAGAAGAAAGAAAAGAAAAGAAGAAAAGATTCTAGGAAACTTATTAGACTAATTTTATAATAAAAACATCTTCTGATGCAATGATTGTTCAAATTTGATTTTGTTTTAATTTAGTTCAAATTAGAGAGATTTCTAATTGAAAGTTAGATAGACGATTGGTTTCTAAGTAAAGTAAACGAGTAAAGTAAACAATTCGTGCAGTAGATCTGCGTTTACATCTTTACGTTTATAGCTGTTTATAACGATTGGGTTGATGGAAAAGTCGTTTCCGATTTTTTGGGAGAGTACCTTAAATTTGTCGAATTTTGACGTTTTATCGCTCATCCTAAAGCTGAATTCAAGACGGATCGATTGGTAAAAACTGATTGAGATATCTCTTTTCTAAAAGTTTTTACACCTATTTTAGTAAAGGGCGGCAGAGCCAAAAAAATGGCTGTTTTCACGTTTCGTTAGTTTTCGGTGCAGAAACCCAGGCTAAAAAAATGTGCTTCGTGATCAGCGTCAAAAATAACCCCTAGACATTTTCAGAATCTTTCAGAATCGATCCGTCTTGAATTCAGCTTTAGGATGAGCTATAAGCTTTAGGATGAGCTATTGAGATATCTCTTTTCTAAAAGTTTTTATGAATGGCACTA